GCTCTCATACCATGTTGGGCTGAACGCCTTAGGATCTTTAGTAGAGTTAAAGTCTGAGTAAATGATGTAGTAGCGGAAGCGTTTGAATTAAGTCCTTTGAACCACCTTGCGCTAGTATGTGAGGGCAAAGTAAGTTATTTAAAGCAAAGAGATACATGAATATATATACGAGTACAGAGAATATGAAGAGACACAATTGTAATTGTTTTACTGTTGCGGTTCTGTTGGGCTGAGGATTTCAGCCTTAGGATCTTTGCAGAGAATAGGCTAGTAGGTGCTAGAGTAGCACAGCGGAAGTCTTTTGAGTGAATGTACTTGTGCTGGTATGTGAGAACAAGTAATTGATTAAAGCAAAGAGCATACAGGAATATATAGGAAAGATAGATTACAGGAAGCGGTTATGTTTATCGAGACGCGTAACGCTTCGACTATCGAGGCGGTTACTGTTCACTGAAGCGTCGCTTGCTGTTACGTAACCTCCAGGCGGTTACAACTCGCAACCTCCAGTTGCGGTTCGATGGTTCCGTCGGAGTTGGTTTTGATCCGGAATACCCATTTTCCGGAGAGAATGGGTCTGTCTTGTGCGAGTGATGCTGAGACGATCTTCCAGGTGTTGCGGTCTGAAAGCGCTTTTAACTCCTTTTCCATGGCTTTGCGCCATTTTTCTTTGTGTTTTTTCATAGAGCCTGCTTGACAGAGCGAGGCTCTTCAGGTGGCGACGAAGGCCCGTGCACTGCAGCGACGAGTCCCACGACTTGGAGTCCGCTGGGGGTGTGACGGTTCAGCAAGGGATCCTCGGGATAGACTGCTTTGTCTCCCGCTTCAGGATCAGGTGCGAATCCGGGGCCGTATCGTTCAGAGATGTTGGTGTTGACGGGTTGGGGTGTTACGTAACCAGTGTCGGCGAAATGGTAGTAGACGTCGGCATTGTTGCTGTCGCGAGGATTTTCCTCGTCCATGGGGATTGGGACGGAGCAGTAGGGAAGGGGTCCAGCAGCTTCGGAGGCGCCGTCGACGTTTTCTTCTTCCCAGTCAGCAGCGTCGGAGGGTGAAGCGAAGGCTCGGGAACCAGAAAATCCGCCGGTGGGGTCGACGTGGCGTGCGATGTTGTCCAGGTAATGGTTGAGGGTGAGTTGCTCGTAGAAGATAACGTCACGTGCTGCTACTGTTTCCTTTGTGTGGACGTCGAAGATTCGCCAGGCTTCGTAATGTTTTGCCAGCCCGAGGTGTAGACCCCACTGTGCACGTTGCGAAAATCTCCCTGCGCGTGCAGTGTGTGGGCGGTACTGTACCATACACCCAAAAACTCGTAACATTTTTGTGTTGCCCAGCTTCCCAGTCCACAACAGGTGCGGAGATGCGTTGTTGGGCAGTGAAGACGAGGACAGCAAGTTGTGCAGGAGGACAGCGTGGTCCATCGCTGCTGGCCATTCTGAGTTGGGCAGTCGAGTTCCACGTAGCAGCTTTCGCATGGTTGTCTGCAAGGTCCTGTTCATCCTTTCTGCCACACCCTGCTGTTGGTGAGCGTAAGGAAGAGAGATGAGGCGTTTGATGCCTCTTTCTGCCAAGAACTGTTTGAAGCGATGTGACTGATATTCCAACGCGCCATCTGACTGAAAACTCTTCAGTTTTACTCCCGATTCTCTTTCAGGGACAGGTAGCCAGGCTGTGAAGGCTTCTAGAGCCATGTCTCGTGACGGTAAGTTGACGTGCCAGACATATCGCATTGCGGCTTCGATGAAGGTGATGACGTAGTTCAGATCTTCACGTCCTTCAGTTCGAGGTATGTATAGTATGTCGCTGTAGACTTTCTCGAGTGGTTGATAAACGGGGGCGCTCGGATTGTGGTGTGACGGGAACGGTTGGTGAGGCAGATCTGCTTCCGGGCAGATGAAGCAGGTGCCGCGTGGTCGTTCGAGTTCACGTCCGTTGGGAAGAAGTAGGGCGTTCTTGTCTAACACTCCGGCTCGTATTGTGTTGTAAAGTATTTTGTTTCCAGGATGTCCAAGACATTGATGCCAGATGTCTTCGGAGGCGCTGTGACCGACGGAGCGTTGATAGAAGTCTGCGTTGGCGAAGAATGCGGCGTGTGTTGCTGCACTTCGATGAACGGCGCGTGGTACTGGTGTTAACTGTTGGGCGGCTGTCGGTGGCGTGTCGATGATGAGAGGTGGTGGCGTGACGGAGGGACCGGGCTGTGGAGTTTCGGAAGGTTGTTCCGCGACGACGGTTGGTTCTTCAACTGCATGTTCGGTGGTTGTTGGTGCTGTGACGGGTGCAGTTGTTGTTTCGATGACGAGTGCTGACTCAGGTGTTGTTGCTTGTGTTTGCAGGACGGCAAGCGCGTTGGTGCGTTCAGCTTCGGGAATGGTACGAGAGTACCAGAAGCCTTCAGGACTGAAGTTCGGGTCGAGGTCTAGCGGATGTGTCCAAGGTGCGAGAGCGACTATGCCATCGCTGTCTGCGGTGCCTTGGTCGGGGACGAAATCGAGGACGAACACGTCATCTTGTTGGATTGCGCGGCCGATGAAGACCCCCCCTTTTCCGTAGTAAAGGCGGATTTCCCGGGCGTCAGAGTCACACTCCAGGTGAATGCCTTTCGACATGAGTTGGCTGACGCTCAGTAAGTTGAAGCCGAGGTTGTCCACGACGAGTACTTTGTTTAGTTGAAGGATAACGTTTGTTTCGTTTGACTGAAGCTCCACGACTCCTTGTTTGTTGGTGCGCTGGAAGACGTCGTTCGCGCTGAAGAAATCGTGATGAAGAGCACATGTGATGACCGCAACAGCTGTCGAGGAACCATGTGTCTGGTCCGGTGGGTGCACTGTTCGCGATGGCGGCGTACGTTGGATTCACGTTAAGGGACGACGGTGGTGGTGACAGTTGCTCATCAGGACTGTAAGTCGGTGGTGAGCCGGTAATACACGAGTCGATGTTTGACTCTGTTGTTCGTGCCATGGCGACAATTCTTGATGTCTGTGCAGGTCCCGAAGTAGAAGTTGACGGTCGCGTTGAAGTAGTCGTTGAGGCGGTGGCGGGTCGTTGTTGAGTTGACGCGATGTGGGGAGGCGCGGGTCGCAGAGGACGAGAGAATGGTGCTGGTTGTCGTTGTTGCTGAGGGCAGTTGAAGCATGTGTGTCCTGAAGTCCGACACAGATGACAATAAGGAGGTACGTGTCCTCGATTTTGGTAACGTGGCTGTCGTCGATTGGTGTAAAGAACGACTGGTTGATGATGCCTTTTATTGTTGCGTTCTTCGAACATGTCCATTTCGTGCTGCTCGGCGTGAAGTTCGGCGCAGAGATGCATTTCGGAGAGTCGACCGTGAGCGCGAAGAAGTGAACGGGTGGTGCGCCATTGAGGTCCAAGGCCGGCAAGAACGACGGTTACGAAAGCTTCTTCAAATAAGTTTCATCCGCAGCGAATAAGTCTGTCGCGTAGTCCTTGACAGCGACTGATGTAAGGCATGGCCTTTTCTCCAAGTTGCATTTGAACTGTTGTCAGTTGTGCCATGAGTCGGCTTTGTGTAACGCTGTCGGATGCTTGATGAATGCTTCGCAGATGTTGATAGGCGAGTTCCGCGGAGTTTGCGTAGTTCCGGTAGGCGCGGATGCTTTGTTGTTCGTTCGACGACAGGTTTCGGAGAAGAACGGTGTAAGCCATCAGGGAGTGATACGTATACTTTTCTTTGTCTTTGTCTTCGCCGTTGTGTGGATATGGCCAGGTACCGTTGTAGAATCCAAGAAGATTCGCGCCTTCCATCAGGAGTTCAAACTCGAAGCTCCAAGAGTAGAAGTCATTTCCGTTGAATGGTGTGGATGTGTGCAGTCGCAGGATGTTGTTGGACTGTGCTTGTACTTGCAGGACTTCTTCGGTGTCTCGTTTGATGGCGGGAAAAGGGGTTGCTGGATGGCGAGGCGGCATGAACGTGAAGGAACCAGGTGAGACCGAATTTGGTGTTTGTTGATTATGTCGTCCGAACGATGAGTTGTCAATACTCATTGGTGCCGCTCCGTTGTTTACGCTGTTGCTGTTTGTAGGTTGTGAGGACTGCTGCTACGACATGAAGTTGAAGAACTCCTCCATTAAGCTTGGGTTGAAGATTGTTGGCGGCGCTACTGGCGCTTGAGTAGAACGTTCCGTCGCTTCCGACGTTAATCCGGGCGTTGTTCCTCCTTCGGTCTGCAACTCGGAGACCGGGGGTAGAGTAGATCCCGTAGATGATCTTCTTTCTTTGCCACTTGCCATGTCTTGCCTTTCTTGAATGAAGATTGAACTTCTTGGTTGCTTGCAGATCGGTAGCCTGGAAGAGCCTTTGTTCTCTGACTGCTCTCATACCATGTTGGGCTGAGGATTTCAGCCTTAGGATCTTTGCAGAGAATAGGCTAGTAGGTGCTAGAGTAGCACAGCGGAAGTCTTTTGAGTGAATGTACTTGTGCTGGTACGTGAGAACAAGTAATTGATTAAAGCAAAGAGCATACAGGAATATATAGGAAAGATAGATTACAGGAAGCGGTTATGTTTATCGAGACGCGTAACGCTTCGACTATCGAGGCGGTTATTGTTCACTGAAGCGTCGCTTGCTGTTACGTAACCTCCAGGCGGTTACAGCTCGCAACCTCCAGTTGCGGTTTGATGTGGTACGCGCCTTTTCGACTTCATACCTTTTTTGTTGTGCTTCAGTATCGGGTGAGGTTCGATACTACAGAAACGCACTAAGTCATGCGTTTATATTCCCAACAGGTTTGATACAGTGCGACTCGGGGAAGTGCTCAATGTCGAGTCAGTTGTGTGTCCTTGCTGACGCGCTGCGTCAGGTCAAAGGTCGCTGACCTTTGACTTTCTCGTAACCTCCAGCGGTTACGTTAATCTCCGAGGGTTGACTCGCGGTGCTTCGATTTGAGCTGCTTCGCTTGTGTCTTGAGTTTCGACACGACAGAGGCGCTTAAGACTATTTGTTCCCAACAACCTGCACACACACGAACCACAACTCGGATGTGTCAAAGTTGAAGCGGCGGGGAAGGATACAAAACGATGACAATGGAAGGGCAACGGCGGTAGGGAACAAGGAATGCACGGAAGGAGAGAATGAGCAAGGGGGACACAGAGGAAGGGCGGAAGGGGGGGGAAGATGAAGAGTGGTTGTAACGGGGGAGAGAGCGGGGAAAGGCACTGAGCCAGAGAAGTGGCGGAGGGTGAGAGAGGCGGAGGGTGAGAGAGGCGGAGGGTGAGAGAGGCGGAGGGTGAGAGAGGCGGAGGGTGAGAGAGGCGGAGGGTGAGAGAGGCGGAGGATGAGAGAGGCGGAGGGTGAGAGAGGCGGAGGGTGAGAGAGGCGGAGGGTGAGAGAGGCGGAGGGTGAGAGAGGCGGAGGGTGAGAGAGGTGGAGGGTGAGAGAGGCGGAGGATGAGAGAGGCGGAGGGTGAGAGAGGCGGAGGGTGAGAGAGGCGGAGGGTGAGAGAGGCGGAGGGTGAGAGAGGCGGAGGATAAGAGAGGCGGAGGTGAGCGAGGCGGAGGTGAGCCATGTGCTTTCGCCTGCCCACGCGATCCCCCCTGCCCATGTGATCCCCCCTGCCCATGCACCTCCGCCTGTTTGTAGGTCGCATTGCCTGTGCAGGGCAAATCGTGACCTAATGTCGCCGTCGCGTTGCCCTGCCGGCCAAAACGTGACCTAATGTCGCCTTCGCGTTGCCCTGCAGGGCAAGTCGTGACTTAATGTCGCCGTCGCGTTGCCCTGCAATGCAAATCGTGACCTAAATGCGACGTCGCATAGCTCTGCAGGTCGAATCGTGGCCATCGGTCTGCTAACGTCACGCCGCACAACTACATTTCCGGTAATGTCGGTTTCCGCGACTTTAGCTCTCCCATAACTTTTGTAATTCGTGATTAGCGCGTGCCCGCTTGTCGGTATGTTGGCTAGTTGACGGGCCACGCGGGTCCAATAGTGGGTCCTAGAACTCATGCAATAGTTGAATAATCAGTAGCGTTTTTGGGATAAGTTTCTCTTGCCTGTGTGCCTCATGTTTACGCAGGTTGGTGTTGGGCGATGTGCCGTGCGATGAAACCCAACTGGGCATTTGTCGCTGCTACAGTATTCTAGTTTCGCGAATGTTCTGGACCAGGTTTGTGTTTCAAAAGCTTGCCTCCGCTGGAAACCGGGTAACTTCCAGCCAACCTTTGGAAGCTTTAACCAGTTTCGTGCTTCTTGACCCTCCGGTTTAAAATTGCAGATTGCAGCCCTAAATAGCACGTTCAAAATAACTAGAGGAAATTTATTCATATGTCATTACGGTACGTGATACCACGCAACATATTAATGGATTTCACAGGTAGTGTCACACACACGCAGTGGCCACTGCCATGAGGATGTCCCAGAGGCAACTAAGAATCTAAGACACAGCACAGCTCGCAAATGCGGGGACAGCCGGCAACGGCAACCGATCTGTAAGCACAACACCAAGTATGTCTGACAATGTCAGCCTCGCTCATCAAGCCAACAGAAACGAGCAGCGCCGCAAACGTCGCGCACCGACGACGAACTCCAAGAGTACGGCTCCTGAGAAAAGATGTACAGTACCGAGTCACGAACGCCGAAATGTGCGTCACCGAAGAGCTCGAGATCTAGGGAGAAGAAACTAAGCAGGGCACGGAGGAGGCGAGGGGGAGACGTGAAGCGATAGGCTCCGCGAAGTGGACACGAGGGTTGGAATCGACAGTCTGGCGGATGGCTTTGTAGTTGAACTGTGCCGCCTGCTGTTGCTGCTGGCTTGAGGGTACGGACAAAGCTGACGAGGATTTTCGTAGGGAGCGGCCAGCTGGGCTGTTCACATTCACCCGCCCGCTGGGACGCACCGCAGCCATAAGCGCGTCTCTCTCGCCCCGCGCCACGCGAAGCTTCCTCTGCACACCGTCGAGAGCCATCGCGAGTTGCTGAACCTCGTCTTGGGAACTGGAGTTTGATGACGTGGACGTCGAATGCGAGAAGGTTCCAGACGAAATCCCGCTGGCAGGAGTTGCGGGGCTGTCAACCGCCCAGCTTGCAAGTGCCGCCGCCATTTCCTCCGCGAGCGAATCCCTTTCTTGCGCCGCCTGCTGAAGTGCGATCTTTGTCATCTCGAGCTCCTTCTCACATGCTGCCATTTTTTCCGCCAATTCCACGTTGCGCGACTCCGTGGCAGCTAGCCTCCGCGACAGGTCAGTAGGCGACGTCGTCAACACACGCTTCGCGGATCGCAGAACTTCGTTCTCATGCTGCAACTTCAAGACGAGCGCCTCTGAGTCGTTCAACTGTCGCTGAAGCTCGTCGGTGCTGTTCCACGCGTGCTTCAACTCTTCCTGCAGCATCTGTTGCTCTTTCTCCGAAGCTTCGAGAAGCTTGTCCTTCGCCTTGATTTCCGCCTTCAGCGCGTCAACCAATGATTGCATCTCGTGCCCCTCTTTGACAGAGCTGGCACGCTGAATCGGCTGAACCTTTACAGCTGGCGACGCGGCAGGATTCCAAAGCGAGTTTAGATCCTTCAAGCCGCCCACGCCACCTACCGAGTGCGTCCTCGCGTGCGCCGGATGAACACGGCTCTTCTCGGAATCGCGGCTCGCCGCCCTCGGTAATTGCGTCTTCTGCACCACTTTCGGGCTGGCCGGAGCGAGAGACATCGGGCCGCTGTGAATCTGCTTCTCCATCTTGGACCAGCCGAGATCGGCCGGAAAGCCGTCCGAGCTAATACCCCCCATCTGAGGTTTCTGCATGCGGCCGGGCCTGTTCGCGCGGGAAACCTCCGCCAGCCTCACGCATTCCATCTCCTCGGGCTCGTCGACAAACTGCTCCATAATAGCGAAAAACTCCTCCATCGGGTCTCCCGCAGGGGCTTTAGGTAGCGCTTTCTTTACCACCTTCTTCCTTGGCGCGCCGATAGGCTTCTTTTGAGGAGGCGCCTGCCCTGGGGTTCTAGGTGAAACGCGGCCGTTGTTCACGGGAGGCTTGCCCCGTTTCATCTCCCCCATTCCTGCCGTAGGGAAAGGGGCGGGGGTTCCGTTGTTCGAGTCCATGTCTCCGACCAGAAGTCGCATAGCCATGCGACGACTGGCTTTCGAGTTTTCGGCGACGGATGGCGAGAGGGCAGAAGTGATCTTAGAGTGAAGCTCGTCGAGTTCAAAACAAGCAACTAATAGATCGGCTTCCATTTCTAGTCAGCTTCGAAACAAGTACGCTCGAAGGAAACAGATTTGGATCTCAGAGCACGGATTGACCATACGTTGCTTGAACTTCCGAGCGACAGCAAAAACCCTCAGCGGAGGACGGGTTTGAAGCTCAGGGAAGAGTCCTGTAATTGCGAGGGAGGGAAAATCTGGAAATCACAGTTGGGATGGGAAGTTGTGGTAGAGAATCTCACAAGATGTTCAAAGAGTTGGCTCAAGTTCATACACGTTTTCAGCTGTCAACTTCCACCACCACGTCGGCACGAAGCTTTGCCCGCACAGCAGGGTTGGGTTCTTCCCTTGCAGCCCGCGGCAAGTTCATGAAACGAGCCGGCTATCCGTGAGGCGCCACGATGGCAAAGACTGCAAATCAACGAACCAGAAATTACGGAAGGACACGGTTTCGTTGTGACTATGGTAAGGGATCTACACCACATTGGCTGGACTTATTACAGCTTCCGCACCGTCAACTGGTGAGTGGAACGAAATGGTCGTTGTGACTGTTCGCCGATGCCAGCTCAGGTGCATTGCTGCCACAACTGTGCATCGTGGTGAAGTCGATTTGCGTTCAGGCTGTGTACTTTTCATGGTCTGCCCGTGCTTGTGTGTGTACAATTCTATTGCTGCTGCGCTGGACGAATTGGCAACTCCGTAGAATTTCATTTCATTGTCAGGCGTATAGCAGAGCTCGGTTGGCAGATTTATGCTTCCATGAATTGAATCGGGGCAGAGCTGTATGTGTCGTGACATGGTATGGAATTCACGAAATGCAATGCGGTGGCATACAAATTTGGCCCTTTTCTGCAATTGCAGGGTTTGGAAACGACAATCGATGATAACCAAGACAAATGCGCCTCATCCGTATTGGCTGAAAAGAAGGTGACAGCAATGCTTGCTGCTCCACACATAGAATCATGCAGCTGGTGCAGCAGCATCTATCGAAACAATCTGCTGTTTCCAGCGAGTTTCGGCACTTGAAGGGTCAGCCAGTGCTCTGTTTGGCAATGAAAATTTTGCTAGCAGCTGATTGGTGCAAGAATATGAGGCTGGGAACGATGGCGGTGCCGCGTAAAGCCGTGTGAAGTTACGGCCCTGTCCTGGAAACTCATTTCAAACAGCAATCCGTTAAACAGCTCAATGTATCTAGAAACTACTTTGTTAAAATATTTTGCCACCTTGATCTGCTGGAAGCACCAACATACTCAAATAACCGTACATTCCCCTCATTAACGCATTTATGAGCACAAACTGACATCGCACTTGTCTGTTATCCCAACATCTTGCTGTGGCCCTTAGTCGCATCCAACGATGCTTGGCTTCACCCAGGTCAAAGTGTGACCCTCCACAGCAGTGTTGTGCCCATCGTATAGTCTCAGCATTATGCTACCAATCAAGAGACATTGGCAGCTATTTATCCGACATAAAGAAGCAGCATAATTAGCGCATCTGTGATATTCATGTAGAATGCCAGCCAGCGGATCATCCGTACTCTAGAAGAACATGTACATTTTAAATTGCTACCTACGAACCACAACAACTCCTAACGCAAACGGGCACAAAGCCGCTTGGATTGCGCTCCGATCCATCCTAGGAACAACCCTGGCAATACGAAAGGCGCAAGGAACAGAACACTAGAAATGAAAAACATGCAACAGCTCCTACTTGATCGTGGATCAATAAATCCACTGCAGATCAACGGGTGAGTCCGTTCAGACTCATGGAGGCGCCCGCCTGCTGGTCTGCACCTCCTGTACCAGAAACATCTGCACTCCTCACCACCGATCCCGCTTTCGCAAAGCTAGAGACGAGTTAATGTCTTCGAGATCTGCGAACATAGATGTTGTGAGCATGGGATCCTCTTGTTCCAAGCCAGTTGCTGCCTTGTCAATCCTGCTGGGCTTAACGCCTCACTGCTGCCCCTGTTTTTGCAGAGTTGATATCCCGAGCTAGAGACGCATTGATATCTTTCAGATCTGCAAACATGGATGTTGTAAGCATGGGGTCTTCATTCCGTGCCAACTGCTGTCTCGTCAATCCTGCCGGTCCCAACGCCTGCTGCTGCTGCTGCTGCTGCTGCTGCTGCTGCTGCTGCTGCTGCTGCTGCTGCTGCTGCTGCTGCTGCTGCTGCTGCTGCTGCTGCTGTTGCTGCTGCTGTGGCTGCTGCTGCTGAAAGCCATGCTGCATGCCCCCACTGCTACCGCCGAGGCTCATCACCGAACCAGCTGCAGGAGGTTTGGTAGGAGAGAGCGATGGGTATGAATTCCCCATGCCCATCCCCATACCTGCTCCCATGCCCATCCCTGCTCCCATGCCCATTCCCGTACCCGCCCCCATTGGCCCGACATAGGGCACGGGCCGATTGGAGACAGCAGGAGATGGGAGGGCGAGAGGGGAGAAATTTTGATTAGGGCCAAGAGGAGGGTAGGATGGCGTAGCATTGGGAAACGGAGGAGGGGGAGTGTCTCCACTCACTCCGCCCATTCCTCCCCCCATCATGTACTGCTGCTGAAGCTGCTGCTGCTGTTGCTGCTGGTACTGCTGACTTTGTTGGTACATCTGATTCTGCTGCTGCTGCCACAGGGGTTGCTGGTAGTTCTGGTAACCCTGTTGGTGTTGCTGGCCTGGCATTTGGGGATAAATGGGAGGCGGATAATGTTGCTGCTGCGGCTGCTGCTGCTGCTGCTGCTGCTGCTGCTGTTGTGTGAGTTGCTGCTGCCAGGATTGCTGATTCGGGTCATAATGGGTTGGGTACATCTGACCAGGATGGGATGACTGGTAGCTCGGGGCAATAGAGGGAGGATGAGAAGCAGAAGCGGGGAACCCAGATGAGCCTGCACCAGTAAAACCTCGCCCGCCAGCACCTAAACCGGCAGCACCAGAGCCGGAACCACCAAAGGGGTCAGTGGGTGAGTGAGAAGGAAGGGAATTGGAGAGGCGGGGCGGGGCAGATCCGGGGGCAGAGCCAAACCCAGAGCCTAGCGCAGCAGCAGGAGTGGAGGAGGTGGAAGGGGGCTGTGACTGTAACGTGGTGTGAGTGTATGGAGACGGGTAGGTCTGGGGAGAAGAGAGGTGTGTGGATTGGGGATTGTATGGAGATGGAGCAGAGGAAGGGGCGGTAGAGGAGTGGCCTGAATTTGGAAGGGCTTGAAAGGAAGGCTCGGAGTCGAATGGGGAAGGCTCGGTGGTGAAAGAGGGAGGAACGGGTCCAAAGGGGTTGGGTGCAGTGCCTGAAGGTGCAGTGGGAGCAGCAGCATCCGAAGCAGCGTTCGCAGCACTAGCAGCAGCAGCAGCAGCAGCGGAAGGACTAGAGCCAAAGTCTAATGCACGAGCCGCTGCTGGTGGTAGTGCTGACTCTGCTCCTGCGGAAACAGATGCTCCTGCTCCTCCCCCTTGTCCTTCTCCTCCCGCTGTGGCTGCTTGCACGCCTGGCGCAAACGGATTGGACGGCGACAGCTCAGCAAGAAGCATATCAGTGGCTGAGCGATAAACAGGAGCAGCGGGAGCAGCAGGAATGGCAGCAGCAGCCGAACCTGTTCCCCAGGCTTGGGCAGGGAAGGGAGACACGTCCCGGGAGGCAGGTTCGGAATGTGTGTGGGGATGTGCGTTGGGTGAGGGTTGGGCGAGTTTCAAGTGAGACATGTGGGCGGTCATGGCTGGCAGATCAGGGGCTGAGCCGTATGGTGGAAGCGAATAGGGGGGTGCTGCTCCTGCCCCTGCTGCTGCTCCTCCTGCTGCTCCCCCTTCTCCTCCTGCTGCTGCTCCTGATGCTGCAGATTCTCCTGCTGACCCAGTGTCAGCACCAACAGAACCACCAGCACCACTAGCAGAAGAACCAGCAGAAGAAGCAGGGGCAGTGGGGGCAGAGGGGGCATGAGGCGTGGAGGAGCGTTTCCAGTCAGGGGGAAGGGGGAGCAGGGGGGAGGCGGGGGGGGCGCTCGGGGAGAAGGTGGGGGAAGCTGAGGGGCGGATGGAGAAGGCAGATGGCGCACTGTAGGGTGGGGGGGGGGAGCAGAAGCAGGGCGGGAGAAACGGGGGGAAAATGGGGAGAATGTGGGGGGTGCGATAAATGCGGAGGGGCAAGGGGGAACGAGTATGAGGGCGTGGGGGAACGAGTAGGAGGGTGTGGGGGAAGCTGAGGGGCGGATGGGGAAGGAAGATGGCGCACTGCAGGTGGGTGGGGGAGGGGGGAGAAGGGACGGGGCAAGGTTGGGGGAGAAGCTGGATGGGAGTTGTGAATGAGGGGAGCGAAGGAGAAAAGGAGTATGATGGAGTGGGGGAAACGGGGGCGGATGGAGAAGGAAGACGGGGGAGGAGATGGTGCATTGTAGATGGGGAAACCTATTAACGAGGCGCCTCATTTTACGTGCTTATAATAAAGAGGAGAGAGAATGGAGAAAGAAGAAGGGGGGGGAGATGGTACACCATGGATGGGAAAGGGAAGGAGGAGCAGAGGAAGGGGGCACGGAATGGAAGGGGAGAGGGAAACAAGAAACGAGTAGAGAAAGGGGAGGTCGAGAAGGAAAAGGCGAAAGATAGAAGAAGAAGACTTACCCGCACCTGTCTATTGAGCTGAATGATGTGCCTTTGGGCTGACTAGAAAAGAGTAAGCTCGAAAAACGCGAAGGCCTGAACAAAGGGAGGTGTCTGTAGCGGACAGGTGAAAGGTAAAAGAAGAAGACTCACCCTCGCCTGTCTGCGACTTTAAGGCGCCCTCAAAAGGCGAAGGCCCGAACAAAGGGAGGTGACTGTAGCGGACAGGTGGGTTGCGGTGCAGAGTAGAAGGAAGAAGAAGACTCACCCGCGCCTGTCGAGCTGAATGGTCGGCTCGCTGTCAGTGTCTCCCTCCCCATCGTACTGCGCCCACTGCACTCCCCCTGCTGCTGCTGCTGCCCCTGCTGCTGCAGCCGAGCCAGGAGCAGATGCACCACCACCACCAGCACTAGCAGCGGCAGGAGAGGATTTCTGCAGCTGGCTGTGGCGCTTCATGACTGCCTGCACCTCGTCGTTGAGAGCCAGGGCAGAACGGAGCAGGTGCTCGTCACTGGGAAAGCAGGGGATAGGGCAGGGGGGATGGTTGTGGGAGGAGAGATGTGAATGCCCAGGATGCCTCTTCATGACTGCCTGCACCTCGTCGTCGAGAACGACGGCGAAGCGCAGCAGATGCTCGTCACCGGGGGAGCAGGAAAGGGGGAAGGCGAAGGCATGCACAGTGGGCAGTGGGTAATATGAGTGAAGAGGCATGGTAATGAAATGACATTTCATGACCGCTTCATGACCACTTGCACCTCGTCGTTGAGAGCCCGGGCGGAGCAGGGCAGGTGTGCTTGTTACCATGGGAAAAGGGGAAAGGGGAACTGGGCTTGCTCAGAAGTGGAAAGTGCCCCGCCCCGGCTCAGAAGGTGAGTTGGTGACTTTCGACAGTGGTGTGACTTGCTTGTTACCGTGGGAAAAGCGGAAATGGGCTTGCTCAGAAGTCGGGGCACAGGATGGGCGTGGGGTGGGCGTGGGGAGGGCGTGGGGAGGGCGTAGGATAAGTGTGGGATGGGTGTTGGACGGGTGTGGGGAGGGCGTGGGGGGGGGCGTAGGATAAGTGTGGGATGGGTGTTGGACGGGTGTGGGGAGGGCGTGGGGGGGGCGTAGGATAAGTGTGGGATGGGTGTTGGATGGGTGTGAGATGGGTGGGGGATAAGATTCATCTGCTCAAACCCACCTGGTTGAATTGATGGTTGCTGCTAGGCGCCCCTCCAGCTGCTGCACCAACTCGTCCCCCAACACAGGGGCAAGCTAGTCGTTCACTTCTTGTTTCAAGACACGTCAAGAAGACTACGCACAGAGCCAGGGTTCGCCTTCACACACCACTGACGAAAGCTTTTGAGTCGACTCAAAAGGGTTCGCCTTCACACACCACTGACGAAAGCTTTTGAGTCGACTCAAAAGGGTTCGCCTTCACACACCACTGACGAAAGCTTTTGAGTCGACTCAAAAGGGTTCGCCTTCACACACCACTGACGAAAGCTTTTGAGTCGACTCAAAAGGGTTCGCCTTCACACACCACTGACGAAAGTCACCAACTCACCTGGTGGAGTTGATCGTGGCTGCTAGACGCCCCTCTAGCCCCCGGCACTCCCCCACCAGCTGCTGCACCAACTCGTCCCCCAACACAGAGCCAGGGTTGTCCTTGGGTGCGGCTGAGAGCAGGTCAGATAACACCTCCACCGAGTTCAACCCCGTGGTGATGTCTGCCAGACTGGAGAGAGTGGGAGGGAATGGGCACCAAGCATAAACAGAGTGGGTTAAGAGATCGGCACAGAGGAACGGTTGTCCTTGGATGGGAGCGGCTGAGAGCAGGTCGGATAGCACCTCTATGGAGTTCAACCCCATGGTGATGTCTGTGCGGCTGGTTATGCGGAGTGGGGATGAGATGAGGGCGTGGTTAAGGGACAGGGGATACAAAGGCAGGGGTGCCCTTGAATGCGGCTGAGAGCAGGTCAAATAGCACCTCCACGGAGTTCAACCCCATGTGATGTCTGCTAGAATAGAGGGTGTGGGTGGGGTGGGGTGGGGATGAGAGGGTGGGTAAGGAAGGGCAAATATGCAGGGTTGTGCAAGGGCACTGTTGTGAGCAGGTCAGATAACACCTCCACTGAGTTGAGCCCTGTGGTGATGTCTGCTAGACTGGAGAGAGCAGCACAATATATGAAAAAACGGTGCCTGAATCTTCCACCCGGCCCCTCCACACCCCCTCCCCTCCCTTCAGCTGGGTTTCTCTGGTTCCCAACTTCCCACCCCCTTCCATCCCTCCCTCCCTCTATCCTTGATTCCCAACCCCCATGTCTCTCACCTCATAGGCTTGGCACTCGTCCCGTTCTGTGACCCACTCCCACTCTGCTGCTGCTGTGCCTGTGCCTGCGGCTGCTGATAATGCAAGGGAGGGGGCTGTGGCTGCGGTGGTAACGACCTGGGACCTCCAAGAGGAGACCGCGCACCATCATAACCAGCTCCGTTATAAGCTGCCCCGTTATAAGCAGCTCCATTATAAGCAGCAGCAGCAGGGTTACCCGGACTGTATCCCCCCCCAACGGGGCTGCCGTAGGTGGGTGAGTTGTAGAGTTGAGGAGGGGTGGAGTGGTTGGCATGGGGATGCAGGTGCGGGGGGAGGCCGCCAGGTGGCACGCCGTGACTGGCTGCTGCACGCTCGGGAGTCGGCACAGGGATGGAGGGGGAGTGGTGGGAGCTTGCAGTGTGGCGATTGGGGGGGAAGGGGACGCCACTCCTCTGCAGGGAAGACAGTGGGGAACAGGGAGACACGGCAGACAACAAAGGTTACTGTTTATACATACGGAGAGCAGGAAAAAACAACAGAATCGCACCTTGAGCTAATAGAACGCGAGAAACTACTCCGTGTGGCGGCAGGTGGGGCGGGAACAGGTCCACGCATTCCCACTTTCAGAGAGAATGAACGGCATCACACACAACTTGAGAGCTAATAGAACGCGAGAAACTACTCCGTGTGGCGGCAGGTGGGCCCAGGGGGGAACACGTCCGCCCACTCCCACTCTCAGGAGAAGGCATAAGGAGAGGGAGAGTCAGTTGAGAGAATTGTCGATCGAATCCTCATGTGTACAAGTCGGGGTCACACCTTGAGCTCGTCGAAGGTGAGGAAGTACTCTGTGTGGTGGCAGGTGGGGCCAGGGGGGAACACGTCCGCCCATTCTCACTTTCAGAGCAAACATGGGAACAGGCAGAGACAGACGGAGCACACCTTGAGCTCGTCGAATGCGAGGAAGTACTCTGTGTGGCGGCAGGTGGGGCCAGGGGGGAACACGTCCGCCCACTCCTGAATGAGCCCTCGCGCTCTTGCTGTTGCTGCAGGGCTCGCCTGTTAATGAAAGTTTGGTGCCGGGAGGAGGATGGTATAAATTCATTCAGCATGGAGGCGATGGGACATGCAAACACGCGGTACAGGAGGTGAATGAGTGAGAGATGACTTTTGAGTCGACTCAAAAGTCACCTCGTTTGGCACAGGGAGGGAGGATGGTATAATTTCATTCAGCATGGTGGCAATGGGATATGCAAACACGCTGTACAGGAGGTGATGGCGGCAAATGAATGAAAGATTGAATTAGGGCTTTTCCCTACCTAAGAATACACCCCCAAAACAAGGTACAGTTAGAGAACAACCAGACAAACAAACAAGCACGCACCCCTCCTTTCCTGGCGATCTTGGCCACGTCAGCAAGCACTCCTTTCTCCACCACCTGAGCGTGTACCGCCCCCCCACAGTTCTTCATTACCGTCTCCAGCAGCTGTGAAGGGTTGGGAAGGGGGAGAGGACAGAAACGGGTTCAGGTGGTTTAGAAAGGCTGTAACAGGAAAAATGTGGGTGTATGTAATGTACAGTGAGAGCAGGCAGCTGATTTGAGCGTGGACGACATGACACACATGAAAAAGTACAGCAGTGTGGGTCAAATCTAAGAGTTGCAACGTACAGAGGGCGGCAATTGAAAAATGTTGTGACGTACAGAGGGCAGCAATTGAACAATGTTGTAACGTACAGAGGGCGGCAATTGAACAATGTTGCAACGTACAGAGGGCGGCAATTGAACAATGCTGTAACGTACAGTGAGAGCGGAGAGCTGCACTTGTGGATGGCGTGAGGTGACCTTCTTGTGGAGAGCTCGCATGGCGTCTCCCACCTTGCTGGAGGTCGGAGGGGGTGGATAACATAGTCAAAAGCGGTGGTAGGGAGGTGAAAAGGGGAGCGTGGAAAGAGTCGAGTTTTGAGTCGACTCAAAACTTGGCGTCTCCCACTTTGCTGGAGGTCGGAGGGGGTGGATAACGTAGTCAAAAGCGGTGGTAGGGAGGTGAACAGGGGAGCGTGGAAAGAGTGGATGCGAGGCGTGAGGTGACCTTCTTGTGGAGAGCCCGCATGGCGTCTCCCACCTTGCTGGCGGGCACGAGGGAGGATCCGCGAAAGCAACACAAGGACGGGGAAGGGAAGGGAAGGGAAGGGGAGGGGGAGGGGGAGGGGGAGGGGGAGGGGGAGGGGGAGGGGGAGGGGGTAAAGCTGATGAGAAACTCGAGATGACCTCTTGACAACTGCCCCTCATGTCTTCACCCGCCTTGCTAGAGAGCGGGAAACAACGAGTCCAAGGATGCAATAGGGGTAAGAGGGAGAGGCGAGACGGAGGTTGATAAGAGGGACTTGACATGGCCTTCTTGTGAACGGCTCGCATGGTGTCCCCCACCTTGCTGGAGGGTGGGGGAGGAGAAAAGAAAGATAAGTTTGTTTTGTTTTTTTTTTTTTTTTCCGCGAGCCAAAAACGACGTGGCCTTCTTGTAAATGGCTCGGATGGCATCTGCTGTCTAGCTCGGTATTGTGAGGGAGGATGAAGGAATAGGAAGGAAGAACAGAAGTAAGAAGCAACACGCCATGACGCTTCGCAGCAGCGAGACTTTCACAAGACTCCTAGCTGTACGTCACACACGGTATCAACATCTTCGTTTTCCAGCGAAAGCGTCATTTAAGAGGTCGATCCAAACGCTTCACAACATAGAGAAATGATGTCCTTGGAGGTAAGCGACGCGAAATTGAGTGTCGCTGCGACGATTCACAACGTTTGAGGCGCCTCACAAGTTGTCGCTGCGACGATTCACAACGTTTGAGGCGCCTCACAAGTTGTCGCTGCGACGATTCACAGGTCGGCTCACCCTGGCGATACATTGAGAAGGTCGCAGAGCTGGAGATTGGTGGTCCAATCAGGCTCCGCCAGGTACTCGCTGCACGCCTTATCCACAAGATGCGACGCGCTGGTGTCAGAATGATGACCTCGACTAGACATGACGAGATGCTGATTTCACGATCACTTTGATGCTGGTGTTCTTATTACGGCCTTGCTGCTCAAGATTAACGAGGACGCTGATCCAGTGATCCCAATGAAATGCTGTAACCTTAATTTCCACCAGTCACAAAAAATCCTAGGGAACCTCTTCCACAACAGCTAAACCTGCAGGGATGATTACACTTGCTAGATTAGCTCTCAGCTAGATCACCTCTCCCATGAATTAGCTCTAATCGCATCAGGGAAGTGTTTCGATGCTTGAAAAGCAATGGAAGACAGGAGGACAAACCAAGTTCATGTGTGCACGTTTCAGGTTCAGGCAGGTGAGCAGAGCGGTTCAAAGTGGTGGTGACCGAAGATCAAAGCCCCCGAGTGCACAACATCGTACTCAACCGCTAGTATATCCCTCGAAGAATCTGGTCAATTGTACGAACAAGGTAGCCTTGATGCTGGTGTAGCTGGGTGGTGCTGCTGCTGGACTCTGGAAGCGTACTGCTGTTGGACTCTGGAAGCGTACGGGTCCTGCTCTGGGAAACCGAAACTGAACGAAACTAGCCGTTGTTTTGTACACAACCATTTTGCAGTGCTGTGCGGAGACGCGGGTACAGAGCAGGGCTGTCGATTCAAGGGCATTTGCCCTTAATGCCCTGAACATTATGGGTTATGATTGGCGCAGCTCGACCATTTTAAGGGTTTGATTGGGCTGGCACCCGTGCCAGTTAAGGGCATCGTTTGGCCCTTCCCCGGACGAGTTAAGTGCTCAATCTGGGCCGTCCCCTGAATCTAAGTTCTACTTTCGGTTCCGCAGACCACCCCCCTAAAATCTTGCGGAACACCCCCCTCCCCTACCCTCCCTCTCCATGAAAGTTCCACAATAGGGCGCCAGGTGGAGGATGTTTCACTCGATTTTCATCCAATCTAGTGTGTGTGTAGTGTCGAAGTCAGGAGATGAGTAGAAATGCAGTAGGTAGTGCAGCTGTAGTTGTAGTTGGAAGTTGTGACATATAGGTTGACTGGAGTAGTTAGTAGTGAAAAGTATGTGATTTTCTTGTCTATGATGTTGTTTAGGTAAGTTAAGTACACAACACATTGGAGCCCGGATTTCAAGTTTACACTTCGGCCTGCACCCGTGACCGTTAAGGACGAAAATTTGGTCACCTCCCTGAAAATCAGGGTCAGAATTTCAGCAGCTGGGGGCCTCAAGTTCTGCCCCCAGGGATATCGACAGCCCCCAGCTGCTGAAATTCTCAGAGGAGCAAAGAATCTCCAACAAGAGGGGGTAGCGTTTCATCTTTCAGCAAAGAAGGGTTCTCAGTTGACCACGCACATTTACTGAAACTATGCGCTAAAAGCGCGGCACTTTAGCTTCTGGCGCATGGTTTCTTCTAATTATTCGCTCATAGCGCAGAATTAGCTCCTTTCAACGCATTTTCGTTCATCATTGGCCAGAATATCGACGGACCGACAACTCCGCTTAAAATGACGGCCTGCGAACCGTCTACACCTGTATTTTGGGCAGAGAAACATATAAGCCCCTCTCGGATGGCATGTTATTTAGGGAAGCATCAACCCTAAACAGAATGCGGAATTGTTTATAGTTGTTGCCATAAACGATCGGTTTTAATGTTCGTGATCTGTATTCTTTTTAGATGGCAGCATCGAGGGAGTCATCAACCCTAAATACCATAAATTGGGTGTTTAGGACTGATGCCCTTTTTCATGGGTTGTTTTTTTCCGCGCAGGTAAAAATACAAGACTGGATATTTACTGTTCTCACTAACAGTAGAACATATTGGCCTCTAAATTTCGAACATGTGGCCCAATGACCATCGAGCTCCGTTGAAAGGAACTAATACTGCGCAATGAGCGAGAAACTGGCAGAAACCCTGCGCCAGAAGCTACAGTACTGCGCTTTTGGCGTAAAGTTTCAGTGATTGTGCGTGATCAACTGAAAAACCCATCAAAGAATCTCCATGGGAAAAACGAACGAGCATCCACCTCGTTGCAGCGTCAACAAGAGGCGGAACAATTGAGCCAGCACGAAAGCATGGAATGAGATGACACGAAACGCACGACCGAGGTCACCCGCGCTTACACTCGTCACGAAATCACGCGCCTTCGTGGAAGCCGAGAGAGGCCGAAACACAACCGCTTGTCATTCACAAGCTGTTGCGATAACAGCACTGATTAGAAGCCGCAATAGAGAGGAGACTTTCAGGAGGGCAACTACTTTTCCACCAAACAATAAAAGAACCCTCCATACTAAATGAAACTACTGCAGAAAAGCAAACAGCACTATGGTACATGCGGACAATAAATAGAAGGGAACAAGTTAGATATGTACAAGTGGAACGGTTAGAAATTCCCAGTAGATGATGTGAGGAATCTCAAGGAGGAATTCAGTCTACCAGTTCACTGGCACCTTCACCAGAGTGATGTAGAGAATCCTGCACAACACAATCGCATAGAAAAAATAGTTTTAATCAGGAGATGGTAACTGAAGCAAGACATTACAATGAGAAAAAACCGTATCAGTCAAATCAAAAGAGGCAGAAAATAAAATTGAGAGGTAAACTGAAAGATTTCACATGATAGAACGAACACTGACCTTCAAAGCTCTCGGCCATTCGAAGCAGCTCCACCAGCTTCTTCCTCTGCTCCTCTGAAGCCACCAACGACTCGCTCAGGTTCCGCACACTCTCCCTCTTAGCCTCCGTCACTCGCTCCAGCTCCTTTCTCACTCTCCCCAACTCCCCTCTCACTCTCTCTAGTTCTTCCTTCAAACTCTCTCCATCCCTTCCCACTCTCTGAAGCTCCTCCCTCACAAAATCCCCATCCCTTGTCACTCTTTCAAGCTCTTTCCTTGCAATCTCCCCCTCAATCCTAGTCATCTCCAATTCAAGCCTCAACCGTTCCAGTTCCTTCACCCACCCCCCTCCATCCCCATTCTTCCCGGCCTCCTCTCTTATTCTCTCAGCCATCCTTCTTTCCTCCTCTGCCTGCTCGGCTGCACGCCTCGCCACTTCAGCATCTTGCCTTGCCAAGTCAGAAGCTTGTTTTGCCAGCTCAGCAGCGAGCTTACATTCGTCAGCAACACATCTGGCCGCATCAGCCTCTCGTCGTGCCACATCAGCATCACGTCTTGCCACATCAGCATCACATCTTGCCACATCAGCATCCAGTCTAGCCTTGTCAGCATCCCTCTTAGCTTTGTCAACAGCATCTGAAACATCACTCAACCTCCTCAGTGCATCATTCAAACTTGACTCAGTCTGTATCCTCCTCCTCTCAATCCCTTCCCTCTCATTCTCAGCCTCCAATGCTGCTGCCTCAGCCTCCTCTCTCTTCTGCTCAGCCTCACTCCTTGCCTTCTCCGCTTCCTCCCTCTCTTTCTCCGCCTCGCATTTAACTGCCTCAGCCTCCTCTCTCTTCTGCTCAGCCTCACTCCTTGCCTTCTCCGCTTCCTCCCTCTCTTTCTCCGCCACCCATTTCGCTGCCTCAAACTCCTCTCTCTTCTGCTCAGCGTCACTCCTTGCCTTCTCCGCTTCCTCCCTCTCTTTCTGCGCCTTGCATTTCGCTGCCTCAGCCTCCTCTCCCTTCTGCTCAGCCTCACTCCTTGCCTTCTCCGCTTCCTCCCTCTCTTTCTCCGCCTCGCATTTCGCTGCCTCAGCCTCCTCTCTCTTCTGCTCAGCCTCACTCCTTGCCTTCTCCGCTTCCTCCCTCTCTTTCTCCGCCTCGCATTTCGCTGCCTCAGCCTCCTCTCTCTTCTGCTCAGCCTCACTCCTTGCCTTCTCCGCTTCCTCCCTATCTTTCTCCGACTCGCATTTCGCTGCCTCAGCCTCCTCTCTCTTCTGCTCAGCCTCACTCCTTGCCTTCTCCGCTTCCTCCCTCTCTTTCTCCGCCTTGCATTTCGCTGCCTCAGCCTCCTCTCTCTTCTGCTCAGCCTCACTCCTTGCCTTCTCCGCTTCCTCCCTCTCTTTCTCCGCCTCGCATTTCGCTGCCTCAGCCTCCTCTCTCTTCTGCTCAGCCTCAATCCTTGCCTTCTCCGCTTCCTCCCTCTCTTTCTCCGCCTCGCAATTCCCTGCCTCAGCCTCCTCTCTCTTCTGCTCAGCCTCACTCCTTGCCTTCTCCGCTTCCTCACTCTCTTTCTCCGCCTCGCATTTCGCTGCCTCAGCCTCCTCTCTCTTCTGCTGAGCCTCACTCCTTGCCTTCTCCACTGCCTCCCTCTCTTTCTCCGCCACGCATTTCGCTGCCTCAAACTCCTCTCTCTTCTGCTCAGCCTCACTCCTTGCCTTCTCCGCTTCCTCCCTCAATTTCTCCGCCTCGCATTTCGCTGCCTCAGCCTCCTCTCTCTTCTGATCAGCCTCACTCCTTGCCTTCTCCGCTTCCTCCCTCTCTTTCTCCGCCTTGCATTTCGCTGCCTCAGCCTCCTCTCTCTTCTGCTCAGCCTCACTCCTTGCCTTCTCCGCTTCCTCCCTCTCTTTCTCCGCCTCGCATTTCGCTGCCTCAGCCTCCTCTCTCTTCTGCTCAGCCTCACTCCTTGCCTTCTCCGCTTCCTCCCTCTCTTTCTCCGCCTCGCATTTCGCTGCCTCAGCCTCCTCTCTCTTCTGCTCAGCTTCACTCCTTGCCTTCTCCGCTTCCTCCCTCTCTTTCTCCGCCTTGCATTTCGCTGCCTCAGCCTCCTCTCTCTTCTGCTCAGCCTCACTCCTTGCCTTCTCCGCTTCCTCCCTCTCTTTCTCCTCCTCGCATTTCGCTGCCTCAGCCTCCTCTCTCTTCTGCTCAGCCTCACTCCTTGCCTTCTCCACTTCCTCCCTCTCTTTCTCCGCCTCGCATTTCGCTGCCTCAGCCTCCTCTCTCTTCTGCTCAGCCTCACTCCTTGCCTTCTCCACTTCCTCCCTCTCTTTCTCCGCCTCGCATTTCGCTGCCTCAGCCTCCTCTCTCTTCTGCTCAGCCTCACTCCTTGCCTTCTCCGCTTCCTCCCTCTCTTTCTCCGCCTCGCATTTCGCTGCCTCAGCCTCCTCTCTCTTCTGCTCAGCCTCACTCCTTGCCTTCTCCGCTTCCTCCCTCTCTTTCTCCGCCTCGCATTTCGCTGCCTCAGCCTCCTCTCTCTTCTGATCAGCCTCACTCCTTGCCTTCTCCGCTTCCTCCCTCTCTTTCTCCGCCTCGCATTTCGCTGCCTCAGCCTCCTCTCTCTTCTGCTCAGCCTCACTCCTTGCCTTCTCCGCTTCCTCCCTCTTCTGCTCAGCCTCACTCCTTGCCTTCTCCGCTTCCTCCCTCTCTTTCTCCGCCTCGCATTTCGCTGCCTCAGCCTCCTCTCTCTTCTGCTCAGCCTCACTCCTTGCTTTCTCCGCTTCCTCCCTCTCTTTCTCCGCCTTGCATTTCGCTGCCTCAGCCTCCTCTCTCTTCTGCTCAGCCTCACTCCTTGCCTTCTCCGCTTCCTCCCTCTCTTTCTCCGCCTCGCATTTCGCTGCCTCAGCCTCCTCTCTCTTCTGCTCAGCCTCACTCCTTGCCATCTCCTCTTCCTCCCTCTCTTTCTCCGCCTCACATTTCACTGCCTCAGCCTCCTCTCTCTTCTGCTCAGCCTCACTCCTTGCCATCTCCGCTTCCTCCCTCTCTTTCTCCGCCTTGCATTTCGCTGCCTCAGCCTCCTCTCTCTTCTGATCAGCCTCACTCCTTGCCTTCTCCGCTTCCTCCCTCTCTTTCTCCGCCTTGCATTTCGCTGCCTCAGTCTCCTCTCTCTTCTGCTCAGCCTCACTCCTTGCCTTTTCCGCTTCCTCCCTCTCTTTCTCCGCCTCAAATTTCGCTGCCTCAGCCTCCTCTCTCTTCTGCTCAGCCTCACTCCTTGCCTTCTCTGCTTCCTCCCTCTCTTTCTCCGCCTCGCATTTCGCTGCCTCAGCCTCCTCTCTCTTCTGATCAGCCTCACTCCTTGCCTTCTCAGCTGCCTCCCTCTCTTTCTCCGCCTTGCATTTCGCTGCCTCAGTCTCCTCTCTCTTCTGCTCAGCCTCACTCCTTGCCTTCTCTGCTTCCTCCCTCTCTTTCTCCGCCTCGCATTTCGCTGCCTCAGCCTCCTCTCTCTTCTGCTCAGCCTCACTCCTTGCCTTCTCCGCTTCCTCCCTCTCTTTCTCCGCCTTGCATTTCGCTGCCTCAGCCTCCTCTCTCTTCTGCTCAGCCTCACTCCTTGCCTTCTCCGCTTTCTCCCTCTCTTTCTCCGCCTCGAATTTCGCTGCCTCAGCCTCCTCTCTCTTCTGCTCAGCCTCACTCCTTGCCTTCTCCGCTTCCTCCCTCTCTTTCTCCGCCTTGCATTTCGCTGCCTCAGCCTCCTCTCTCTTCTGCTCAGCCTCACTCCTTGCCTTCTCCGCTTCCTCCCTCTCTTTCTCCGCCTCGAATTTCGCTGCCTCAGCCTCCTCTCTCTTCTGCTCAGCCTCACTCCTTGCCTTCTCCGCTTCCTCACTCTCTTTCTCCGCCTCGCATTTCGCTGCCTCAGCCTCCTCTCTCTTCTGCTCAGCCTCACTCCTTGCCATCTCCGCTTCCTCCCTCTCTTTCTCCGCCTTGCATTTCGCTGCCTCAGCCTCCTCTCTCTTCTGCTCAGCCTCACTCCTTGCCTTCTCCGCTTCCTCCCTCTCTTTCTCCGCCTCGAATTTCGCTGCCTCAGCCTCCTCTCTCTTCTGCTCAGCCTCACTCCTTGCCTTCTCCGCTTCCTCCCTCTCTTTCTCCGCCTCGCATTTCGCTGCCTCAGCCTCCTCTCTCTTCTGATCAGCCTCACTCCTTGCCTTCTCCGCTTCCTCCCTCTCTTTCTCCGCCTTGCATTTCGCTGCCTCAGCCTCCTCTCTCTTCTGCTCAGCCTCACTCCTTGCCTTCTCCGCTTTCTCCCTCTCTTTCTCCGCCTCGAATTTCGCTGCCTCAGCCTCCTCTCTCTTCTGCTCAGCCTCACTCCTTGCCTTCTCCGCTTCCTCCCTCTCTTTCTCCGCCTTGCATTTCGCTGCCTCAGCCTCCTCTCTCTTCTGCTCAGCCTCACTCCTTGCCTTCTCCGCTTCCTCCCTCTTCTGCTCAGCCTCACTCCTTGCCTTCTCCGCTTCCTCCCTCTCTTTCTCCGCCTCGCATTTCGCTGCCTCAGCCTCCTCTCTCTTCTGCTCAGCCTCACTCCTTGCTTTCTCCGCTTCCTCCCTCTCTTTCTCCGCCTTGCGTTTCGCTGCCTCAGCCTCATCTCTCTTCTGCTCAGCCTCACTCCTTGCCTTCTCCGCTTCCTCCCTCTCTTTCTCCGCCTCGCATTTCGCTGCCTCAGCCTCCTCTCTCTTCTGCTCAGCCTCACTCCTTGCCATCTCCGCTTCCTCCCTCTCTTTCTCCGCCTCGCATTTCGCTGCCTCAGCCTCCTCTCTCTTCTGCTCAGCCTCACTCCTTGCCTTCTCCGCTTCCTCCCTCTCTTTCTCCGCCTCGCATTTCGCTGCCTCAGCCTCCTCTCTCTTCTGCTCAGCCTCACTCCTTGCCTTCTCCGCTTCCTCCCTCTCTTTCTCCGCCTTGCATTTCGCTGCCTCAGCCTCCTCTCTCTTCTGCTCAGCCTCACTCCTTGCCTTCTCCGCTTCCTCCCTCTCTTTCTCCGCCTCGCATTTCGCTGCCTCAGCCTCCTCTCTCTTCTGCTCAGCCTCACTCCTTGCCTTCTCCGCTTCCTCCCTCTCTTTCTCCGCCTTGCATTTCGCTGCCTCAGCCTCCTCTCTCTTCTGCTCAGCCTCACTCCTTGCCTTCTCCGCTTTCTCCCTCTCTTTCTCGGCCTCGAATTTCGCTGCCTCAGCCTCCTCTCTCTTCTGCTCAGCCTCACTCCTTGCCTTCTCCGCTTCCTCCCTCTCTTTCTCCGCCTTGCATTTCGCTGCCTCAGCCTCCTCTCTCTTCTGCTCAGCCTCACTCCTTGCCTTCTCCGCTTCCTCCCTCTTCTGCTCAGCCTCACTCCTTGCCTTCTCCGCTTCCTCCCTCTCTTTCTCCGCCTCGCATTTCGCTGCCTCAGCCTCCTCTCTCTTCTGCTCAGCCTCACTCCTTGCCTTCTCCGCTTCCTCCCTCTCTTTCTCCGCCTTGCATTTCGCTGCCTCAGCCTCCTCTCTCTTCTGCTGAGCCTCACTCCTTGCCTTTTCCGCTTCCTCCCTCTCTTTCTCCGCCTCGCATTTCGCTGCCTCAGCCTCCTCTCTCTTCTGCTCAGCCTCACTCCTTGCCTTCTCCGCTTCCTCCCTCTCTTTCTCCGCCTTGAATTTCGCTGCCTCAGCCTCCTCTCTCTTCTGCTCAGCCTCACTCCTTGCCTTCTCCGCTTTCTCCCTCTCTTTCTCGGCCTCGAATTTCGCTGCCTCAGCCTCCTCTCTCTTCTGCTCAGCCTCACTCCTTGCCTTCTCCGCTTCCTCCCTCTCTTTCTCCGCCTTGCATTTCGCTGCCTCAGCCTCCTCTCTCTTCTGCTCAGCCTCACTCCTTGCCTTCTCCGCTTCCTCCCTCTTCTGCTCAGCCTCACTCCTTGCCTTCTCCGCTTCCTCCCTCTCTTTCTCCGCCTCGAATTTCGCTGCCTCAGCCTCCTCTCTCTTCTGCTCAGCCTCACTCCTTGCTTTCTCCGCTTCCTCCCTCTCTTTCTCCGCCTTGCGTTTCGCTGCCTCAGCCTCATCTCTCTTCTGCTCAGCCTCACTCCTTGCCTTCTCCGCTTCCTCCCTCTCTTTCTCCGCCTCGCATTTCGCTGCCTCAGCCTCCTCTCTCTTCTGCTCAGCCTCACTCCTTGCCTTTTCCGCTTCCTCCCTCTCTTTCTCCGCCTCGCATTTCGCTGCCTCAGCCTCCTCTCTCTTCTGCTCAGCCTCACTCCTTGCCTTCTCCGCTTCCTCCCTCTCTTTCTCCGCCTCGAATTTCGCTGCCTCAGCCTCCTCTCTCTTCTGCTCAGCCTCACTCCTTGCCTTCTCTGCTTCCTCCCTCTCTTTCTCCGCCTCGCATTTCGCTGCCTCAGCCTCCTCTCTCTTCTGATCAGCCTCACTCCTTGCCTTCTCCGCTTCCTCCCTCTCTTTCTCCGCCTTGCATTTCGCTGCCTCAGCCTCCTCTCTCTTCTGCTCAGCCTCACTCCTTGCCTTCTCCGCTTCCTCCCTCTCTTTCTCCGCCTCGAATTTCGCTGCCTCAGCCTCCTCTCTCTTCTGCTCAGCCTCACTCCTTGCCTTCTCCGCTTCCTCGCTCGCTTTCTCCGCCTCGCATTTCGCTGCCTCAGCCTCCTCTCTCTTCTGCTCAGCCTCACTCCTTGCCTTCTCTGCTTCCTCCCTCTCTTTCTCCGCCTCGCATTTCGCTGCCTCAGCCTCCTCTCTCTTCTGCTCAGCCTCACTCCTTGCCTTCTCCGCTTCCTCCCTCTCTTTCTCCGCCTCGCATTTCGCTGCCTCAGCCTCCTCTCTCTTCTGCTCAGCCTCACTCCTTGCCTTCTCCGCTTCCTCACTCTCTTTCTCCGCCTCGCATTTCGCTGCCTCAGCCTCCTCTCTCTTCTGCTCAGCCTCACTCCTTGCCTTCTCCGCTTCCTCCCTCTCTTTCTCCGCCTCGCATTTCGCTGCCTCAGCCTCCTCTCTCTTCTGATCAGCCTCACTCCTTGCCTTCTCCGCTTCCTCCCTCTCTTTCTCCGCCTTGCATTTCGCTGCCTCAGCCTCCTCTCTCTTCTGATCAGCCTCACTCCTTGCCTTCTCCGCTTCCTCCCTCTCTTTCTCCGCCTTGCATTTCGCTGCCTCAGCCTCCTCTCTCTTCTGCTCAGCCTCACTCCTTGCCTTCTCCGCTTCCTCCCTCTTCTGCTCAGCCTCACTCCTTGCCTTCTCCGCTTCCTCCCTCTCTTTCTCCGCCTCGAATTTCGCTGCCTCAGCCTCCTCTCTCTTCTGCTCAGCCTCACTCCTTGCTTTCTCCGCTTCCTCCCTCTCTTTCTCCGCCTTGCGTTTCGCTGCCTCAGCCTCATCTCTCTTCTGCTCAGCCTCACTCCTTGCCTTCTCCGCTTCCTCCCTCTCTTTCTCCGCCTCGCATTTCGCTGCCTCAGCCTCCTCTCTCTTCTGCTCAGCCTCACTCCTTGCCTTTTCCGCTTCCTCCCTCTCTTTCTCCGCCTCGCATTTCGCTGCCTCAGCCTCCTCTCTCTTCTGCTCAGCCTCACTCCTTGCCTTCTCCGCTTCCTCCCTCTCTTTCTCCGCCTCGAATTTCGCTGCCTCAGCCTCCTCTCTCTTCTGCTCAGCCTCACTCCTTGCCTTCTCTGCTTCCTCCCTCTCTTTCTCCGCCTCGCATTTCGCTGCCTCAGCCTCCTCTCTCTTCTGATCAGCCTCACTCCTTGCCTTCTCCGCTTCCTCCCTCTCTTTCTCCGCCTTGCATTTCGCTGCCTCAGCCTCCTCTCTCTTCTGCTCAGCCTCACTCCTTGCCTTCTCCGCTTCCTCCCTCTCTTTCTCCGCCTCGAATTTCGCTGCCTCAGCCTCCTCTCTCTTCTGCTCAGCCTCACTCCTTGCCTTCTCCGCTTCCTCGCTCGCTTTCTCCGCCTCGCATTTCGCTGCCTCAGCCTCCTCTCTCTTCTGCTCAGCCTCACTCCTTGCCTTCTCTGCTTCCTCCCTCTCTTTCTCCGCCTCGCATTTCGCTGCCTCAGCCTCCTCTCTCTTCTGCTCAGCCTCACTCCTTGCCTTCTCCGCTTCCTCCCTCTCTTTCTCCGCCTCGCATTTCGCTGCCTCAGCCTCCTCTCTCTTCTGCTCAGCCTCACTCCTTGCCTTCTCCGCTTCCTCACTCTCTTTCTCCGCCTCGCATTTCGCTGCCTCAGCCTCCTCTCTCTTCTGCTCAGCCTCACTCCTTGCCTTCTCCGCTTCCTCCCTCTCTTTCTCCGCCTCGCATTTCGCTGCCTCAGCCTCCTCTCTCTTCTGATCAGCCTCACTCCTTGCCTTCTCCGCTTCCTCCCTCTCTTTCTCCGCCTTGCATTTCGCTGCCTCAGCCTCCTCTCTCTTCTGATCAGCCTCACTCCTTGCCTTCTCCGCTTCCTCCCTCTCTTTCTCCGCCTCGCATTTCGCTGCCTCAGCCTCCTCTCTCTTCTGCTCAGCCTCACTCCTTGCCTTCTCCGCTTCCTCACTCTCTTTCTCCGCCTCGCATTTCGCTGCCTCAGCCTCCTCTCTCTTCTGCTCAGCCTCACTCCTTGCCTTCTCCGCTTCCTCCCTCTCTTTCTCCGCCTCGCATTTCGCTGCCTCAGCCTCCTCTCTCTTCTGATCAGCCTCACTCCTTGCCTTCTCCGCTTCCTCCCTCTCTTTCTCCGCCTCGCATTTCGCTGCCTCAGCCTCCTCTCTCTTCTGATCAGCCTCACTCCTTGCCTTCTCCGCTTCCTCCCTCTCTTTCTCCGCCTTGCATTTCGCTGCCTCAGCCTCCTCTCTCTTCTGATCAGCCTCACTCCTTGCCTTCTCCGCTTCCTCCCTCTCTTTCTCCGCCTTGCATTTCGCTGCCTCAGCCTCCTCTCTCTTCTGCTCAGCCTCACTCCTTGCCTTCTCCGCTTCCTCCCTCTCTTTCTCCGCCTCGCATTTCGCTGCCTCAGCCTCCTCTCTCTTCTGCTCAGCCTCACTCCTTGCCTTCTCCGCTTCCTCCCTCTCTTTCTCCGCCTTGCATTTCGCTGCCTCAGCCTCCTCTCTCTTCTGCTCAGCCTCACTCCTTGCCTTCTCCACTTCCTCCCTCTCTTTCTCCGCCTTGCATTTTGCTGCCTCAGCCTCCTCTCTCTTCTGCTCAGCGTCACTCCTTGCCTTCTCCGCTTCCTCCCTCTCTTTCTCCGCCTCGCATTTCGCTGCCTCAGCCTCCTCTCTCTTCTGCTCAGCCTCACTCCTTGCCTTCTCCGCTTCCTCCCTCTCTTTCTCCGCCTCGCATTTCGCTGCCTCAGCCTCCTCTCTCTTCTGCTCAGCCTCACTCCTTGCCTTCTCCGCTTCCTCACTCTCTTTCTCCGCCTCGCATTTCGCTGCCTCAGCCTCCTCTCTCTTCTGCTCAGCCTCACTCCTTGCCTTCTCCGCTTCCTCCCTCTCTTTCTCCGCCTTGCATTTCGCTGCCTCAGCCTCCTCTCTCTTCTGATCAGCCTCACTCCTTGCCTTCTCCGCTTCCTCCCTCTCTTTCTCCGCCTTGCATTTCGCTGCCTCAGCCTCCTCTCTCTTCTGCTCAGCCTCACTCCTTGCCTTCTCCGCTTCCTCCCTCTCTTTCTCCGCCTCGCATTTCGCTGCCTCAGCCTCCTCTCTCTTCTGCTCAGCCTCACTCCTTGCCTTCTCCGCTTCCTCCCTCTCTTTCTCCGCCTCGCATTTCGCTGCCTCAGCCTCCTCTCTCTTCTGCTCAGCCTCACTCCTTGCCTTCTCCACTTCCTCCCTCTCTTTCTCCGCCTTGCATTTTGCTGCCTCAGCCTCCTCTCTCTTCTGCTCAGCGTCACTCCTTGCCTTCTCCGCTTCCTCCCTCTCTTTCTCCGCCTCGCATTTCGCTGCCTCAGCCTCCTCTCTCTTCTGCTCAGCCTCACTCCTTGCCTTCTCCGCTTCCTCCCTCTCTTTCTCCGCCTCGCATTTCGCTGCCTCAGCCTCCTCTCTCTTCTGCTCAGCCTCACTCCTTGCCTTCTCCGCTTCCTCCCTCTCTTTCTCCGCCTCGCATTTCGCTGCCTCAGCCTCCTCTCTCTTCTGCTCAGCCTCACTCCTTGCCTTCTCCGCTTCCTCCCTCTCTTTCTCCGCCTTGCATTTCGCTGCCTCAGCCTCCTCTCTCTTCTGATCAGCCTCACTCCTTGCCTTCTCCGCTTCCTCCCTCTCTTTCTCCGCCTTGCATTTCGCTGCCTCAGCCTCCTCTCTCTTCTGCTCAGCCTCACTCCTTGCCTTCTCCGCTTCCTCCCTCTCTTTCTCCGCCTCGCATTTCGCTGCCTCAGCCTCCTCTCTCTTCTGCTCAGCCTCACTCCTTGCCTTCTCCGCTTCCTCCCTCTCTTTCTCCGCCTCGCATTTCGCTGCCTCAGCCTCCTCTCTCTTCTGCTCAGCCTCACTCCTTGCCTTCTCCACTTCCTCCCTCTCTTTCTCCGCCTTGCATTTTGCTGCCTCAGCCTCCTCTCTCTTCTGCTCAGCGTCACTCCTTGCCTTCTCCGCTTCCTCCCTCTCTTTCTCCGCCTCGCATTTCGCTGCCTCAGCCTCCTCTCTCTTCTGCTCAGCCTCACTCCTTGCCTTCTCCGCTTCCTCCCTCTCTTTCTCCGCCTCGCATTTCGCTGCCTCAGCCTCCTCTCTCTTCTGCTCAGCCTCACTCCTTGCCTTCTCCGCTTCCTCCCTCTCTTTCTCCGCCTCGCATTTCGCTGCCTCAGCCTCCTCTCTCTTCTGCTCAGCCTCACTCCTTGCCTTCTCCGCTTCCTCCCTCTCTTTCTCCGCCTTGCATTTCGCTGCCTCAGCCTCCTCTCTCTTCTGCTCAGCCTCACTCCTTGCCATCTCCGCTTCCTCGCTCGCTTTCTCCGCCTCGCATTTCGCTGCCTCAGCCTCCTCTCTCTTCTGCTCAGCCTCACTCCTTGCCTTCTCTGCTTCCTCCCTCTCTTTCTCCGCCTCGCATTTCGCTGCCTCAGCCTCCTCTCTCTTCTGATCAGCCTCACTCCTTGCCTTCTCCGCTTCCTCCCTCTCTTTCTCCGCCTTGCATTTCGCTGCCTCAGCCTCCTCTCTCTTCTGCTCAGCCTCACTCCTTGCCTTCTCCGCTTCCTCCCTCTCTTTCTCCGCCTCGAATTTCGCTGCCTCAGCCTCCTCTCTCTTCTGCTCAGCCTCACTCCTTGCCTTCTCCGCTTCCTCCCTCTCTTTCTCCGCCTTGCATTTTGCTGCTTCAGCCTCCTCTCTCTTCTGCTCAGCGTCACTCCTTGCCTTCTCCGCTTCCTCCCTCTCTTTCTCCGCCTCGCATTTCGCTGCCTCAGCCTCCTCTCTCTTCTGCTCAGCCTCACTCCTTGCCTTCTCCGCTTCCTCCCTCTCTTTCTCCGCCTTGCATTTCGCTGCCTCAGCCTCCTCTCTCTTCTGCTCAGCCTCACTCCTTGCCTTCTCCGCTTCCTCCCTCTCTTTCTCCGCCTCGAATTTCGCTGCCTCAGCCTCCTCTCTCTTCTGCTCAGCGTCACTCCTTGCCTTCTCCGCTTCCTCCCTCTCTTTCTCCGCCTCGCATTTCGCTGCCTCAGCCTCCTCTCTCTTCTGCTCAGCCTCACTCCTTGCCTTCTCCGCTTCCTCACTCTCTTTCTCCGCCTCGCATTTCGCTGCCTCAGCCTCCTCTCTCTTCTGCTCAGCCTCACTCCTTGCCTTCTCCGCTTCCTCCCTTTCTTTCTCTGCCTCGCATTTCGCAGCCTCAACCTCCTCTCTCTTCTGCTCAGCCTCACTCCTTGCCTTCTCCGCTTCCTCCCTCTCTTTCTCCGCCTTGCATTTCGCTGCCTCGGCCTCCTCTCTCTTCTGCTCAGCCTCACTCCTTGCCATCTCCTCTTCCTCCCTCTCTTTCTCCGCCTCACATTTCGCTCCCTCAGCCTCCTCTCTCTTCAGCTCAGCCTCACTCCTTGCCTTCTCCGCTTCCTCCCTCTCTTTCTCCGCCTCGCATTTCGCTGCCTCAGCCTCCTCTCTCTTCTGCTCAGCCTCAATCCTTGCCTTCTCCGCTTCCTCCCTCTCTTTCTCCGCCTCGCATTTCGCTGCCTCAGCCTCCTCTCTCTTCTGCTCAGCCTCACTCCTTGCCTTCTCCGCTTCCTCCCTATCTTTCTCCGCCTTGCATTTCGCTGCCTCAGCCTCCTCTCTCTTCTGCTCAGCCTCACTCGTTGCCATCTCCGCTTCCTCCCTCTCTTTCTCCGCCTCACATTTCGCTGCCTCAGCCTCCTCTCTCTTCTGCTCAGCCTCACTTCTTGCCTTCTCCGCTTCCTCCCTCTCTTTCTCCGCCTCGCATTTCGCTGCCTCAGCCTCCTCTCTCTTCTGCTCAGCGTCACTCCTTGCCTTCTCCGCTTCCTCCCTCTCTTTCTCCGCCTCGCATTTCGCTGCCTCAGCCTCCTGTCTCTTCTGCTCAGCCTCACTCCTTGCCTTCTCCGCTTCCTCCCTCTCTTTCTCCGCCTCGCATTTCGCTGCCTCAGCCTCCTCTCTCTTCTGCTCAGCCTCACTCCTTGCCTTCTCCGCTTCCTCCCTCTCTTTCTCCGCCTCGCATTTCGCTGCCTCAGCCTCCTGTCTCTTCTGCTCAGCCTCACTCCTTGCCTTCTCCGCTTCCTCCCTCTCTTTCTCCGCCTCGCATTTCGCTGCCTCAGCCTCCTCTCTTCTCTGCTCAGCCTCACTCCTTGCCTTCTCCGCTTCCTCCCTCTCTTTCTCCGCCTCGCATTTCGCTGCCTCAGCCTCCTCTCTCTTCTGCTCAGCCTCACTCCTTGCCTTCTCCGCTTTCTCACTCTCTTTCTCCGCCTCGCATTTCGCTGCCTCAGCCTCCTCTCTCTTCTGCTCAGCCTCACTCCTTGCCTTCTCCGCTTCCTCCCTTTCTTTCTCTGCCTCGCATTTCGCTGCCTCAGCCTCCTCTCTCTTCTGCTCAGCCTCACTCCTTGCCTTCTCCGCTTCCTCCCTCTCTTTCTCCGCCTCGCATTTCGCTGCCTCAGACTCCTCTCTCTTCTGCTCAGCCTCACTCCTTGCCATCTCCGCTTCCTCCCTCTCTTTCTCCGCCTCACATTTCACTCCCTCAGCCTCCTCTCTCTTCTGCTCAGCCTCACTCCTTGCCTTCTCCGCTTCCTCCCTCTCTTTCTCCGCCTCACATTTCGCTGCCTCAGCCTCCTCTCTCTTCTGCTCAGCCTCACTCCTTGCCTTCTCCGCGTCCTCCCTCTCTTTCTCCGCCTTGCATTTCGCTGCCTCAGCCTCCTCTCTCTTCTGCTCAGCCTCACTCCTTGCCATCTCCGCTTCCTCCCTCTCTTTCTCCGCCTCGCATTTCGCTGCCTCAGCCTCCTCTCTCTTCTGCTCAGCCTCACTCCTTGCCTTCTCCGCTTCCTCCCTCTCTTTCTCCGCCTCGCATTTCGCTGCCTCAGCCTCCTCTCTCTTCTGCTCAGCCTCACTCCTTGCCTTCTCCGCTTCATCCCTCTCTTTCTCCGCCTTGCATTTCGCTGCCTCAGCCTCCTCTCTCTTCTGCTCAGCCTCACTCCTTGCCTTCTCCGCTTCCTCCCTCTCTTTCTCCGCCTCGCATTTCGCTGCCTCAGCCTCCTCTCTCTTCTGCTCAGCCTCACTCCTTGCCTTCTCCGCTTCCTCCCTCTCTTTCTCCGCCTCGCATTTCGCTGCCTCAGCCTCCTCTCTCTTCTGCTCAGCCTCACTCCTTGCCTTCTCCGCTTCCTCCCTCTCTTTCTCCGCCTCGCATTTCGCTGCCTCAGCCTCCTCTCTCTTCTGCTCAGCCTCACTCCTTGCCTTCTCCGCTTCCTCCCTCTCTTTCTCCGCCTCGCATTTCGCTGCCTCAGCCTCCTCTCTCTTCTGCTCAGCCTCACTCCTTGCCTTCTCCGCTTCCTCCCTCTCTTTCTTGGCCTCGCATTTCGCTGCCTCAGCCTCCTCTCTCTTCTGCTCAGCCTCATTCCTTGCCTTCTCCGCTTCCTCCCTCTCTTTCTCCGCCTTGCATTTCGCTGCCTCAGCCTCCTCTCTCTTCTGCTCAGCCTCACTCCTTGCCTTCTCCGCTTTCTCCCTATCTTTCTCCGCCTCGCATTTCGCTGCCTCAGCCTCCTCTCTCTTCTGCTCAGCCTCACTCCTTGCCTTCTCCGCTTCCTCCCTCTCTTTCTCCGACTCCCATTTCGCTGCCTCAGCCTCCTCTCTCTTCTGCTCAGCCTCACTCCTTGCCTTCTCCGCGTCCTCCCTCTCTTTCTCCGCCTCGCATTTAGCAGCTTCAGCCTCACTCCTTGCCTTCTCCGCTTCCTCCCTCTCTTTCTCCGCCTCGCATTTCGCTGCCTCAGCCTCCTCTCTCTTCTGCTCAGCCTCACTCCTTGCCTGCTCCACTTCCTCCCTCTCTTTCTCCGCCTTGCATTTCGCTGCCTCAGCCTCCTCTCTCTTCTGCTCAGCCTCACTCCTTGCCTTCTCCGCGACCTCCCTCTCTTTCTCCGCCTCGCATTTAGCAGCTTCAGCCTCACTCCTTGCCTTCTCCGCTTCCTCCCTCTCTTTCTCCGCCTCGCATTTCGCTGCCTCAGCCTCCTCTCTCTTCTGCTCAGCCTCACTCCTTGCCTGCTCCACTTCCTCCCTCTCTTTCTCCGCCTTGCATTTCGCTGCCTCAGCCTCCTCTCTCTTCTGCTCAGCCTCACTCCTTGCCTTCTCCGCCACCTCCCTCTCTTTCTCCGCCTCGCATTTAGCAGCTTCAGCCTCACTCCTTGCCTTCTCCGCTTCCTCCCTCTCTTTCTCCGCCTCGCATTTCGCTGCCTCAGCCTCCTCTCTATTCCGCTCAGCCTCGCTCCTTGCCTTCTGCGCTTCCTCCCTCTTTTTCTCCGCCTCGCATTTCGCTGCCTCAGCCTCCTCTCTCTTCTGCTCAGCCTCACTCCTTGCCTTCTCCGCTTCCTCCCTCTCTTTCTCCGCCTCGCATTTCGCTGCCTCAGCCTCCTCTCTCTTCTGCTCAGCCTCACTCCTTGCCTTCTCCGCTTCCGCCCTCTCTTTCTCCGCCTCGCATTTCGCTGCCTCAGCCTCCTCTCTCTTCTGCTCAGCCTCACTCCTTGCCTTCTCCGCTTCCTCCCTCTCTTTCTCCGCCTCGCATTTCGCTGCCTCAGCCTCCTCTCTCTTCTGCTCAGCCTCACTCCTTGCCTTCTCCGCTTCCTCCCTCTCTTTCTTGGCCTCGCATTTCGCTGCCTCAGCCTCCTCTCTCTTCTGCTCAGCCTCATTCCTTGCCTTCTCCGCTTCCTCCCTCTCTTTCTCCGCCTTGCATTTCGCTGCCTCAGCCTCCTCTCTCTTCTGCTCAGCCTCACTCCTTGCCTTCTCCGCTTTCTCCCTATCTTTCTCCGCCTCGCATTTCGCTGCCTCAGCCTCCTCTCTCTTCTGCTCAGCCTCACTCCTTGCCTTCTCCGCTTCCTCCCTCTCTTTCTCCGACTCGCATTTCGCTGCCTCAGCCTCCTCTCTCTTCTGCTCAGCCTCACTCCTTGCCTTCTCCGCGTCCTCCCTCTCTTTCTCCGCCTCGCATTTAGCAGCTTCAGCCTCACTCCTTGCCTTCTCCGCTTCCTCCCTCTCTTTCTCCGCCTCGCATTTCGCTGCCTCAGCCTCCTCTCTCTTCTGCTCAGCCTCGCTCCTTGCCTGCTCCACTTCCTCCCTCTCTTTCTCCGCCTTGCATTTCGCTGCCTCAGCCTCCTCTCTCTTCTGCTCAGCCTCACTCCTTGCCTTCTCCGCGACCTCCCTCTCTTTCTCCGCCTCGCATTTAGCAGCTTCAGCCTCACTCCTTGCCTTCTCCGCTTCCTCCCTCTCTTTCTCCGCCTCGCATTTCGCTGCCTCAGCCTCCTCTCTCTTCTGCTCAGCCTCACTCCTTGCCTTCTCCGCTTCCTCCCTCTTTTTCTCCGCCTCGCATTTCGCTGCCTCAGCCTCCTCTCTCTTCTGCTCAGCCTCACTCCTTGCCTTCTCCGCTTCCTCCCTCTCTTTCTCCGCCTCGCATTTCGCTGCCTCAGCCTCCTCTCTCTTCTGCTCAGCCTCACTCCTTGCCTGCTCCACTTCCTCCCTCTCTTTCTCCGCCTTGCATTTCGCTGCCTCAGCCTCCTCTCTCTTCTGCTCAGCCTCACTCCTTGCCTTCTCCGCGACCTCCCTCTCTTTCTCCGCCTCGCATTTAGCAGCTTCAGCCTCACTCCTTGCCTTCTCCGCTTCCTCCCTCTCTTTCTCCGCCTCGCATTTCGCTGCCTCAGCCTCCTCTCTCTTCTGCTCAGCCTCACTCCTTGCCTGCTCCACTTCCTCCCTCTCTTTCTCCGCCTTGCATTTCGCTGCCTCAGCCTCCTCTCTCTTCTGCTCAGCCTCACTCCTTGCCTTCTCCGCTTCCTCCCTCTCTTTCTCCGCCTCGCATTTCGCTGCCTCAGCCTCCTCTCTATTCCGCTCAGCCTCGCTCCTTGCCTTCTCCGCGTCCTCCCTCTCTTTCTCCGCCTCGCATTTCGCTGCCTCAGCCTCCTCTCTCTTCTGCTCAGCCTCACTCCTTGCCTTCTCCGCTTCCTCCCTCTCTTTCTTGGCCTCGCATTTCGCTGCCTCAGCCTCCTCTCTCTTCTGCTCAGCCTCATTCCTTGCCTTCTCCGCTTCCTCCCTCTCTTTCTCCGCCTTGCATTTCGCTGCCTCAGCCTCCTCTCTCTTCTGCTCAGCCTCACTCCTTGCCTTCTCCGCTTTCTCCCTATCTTTCTCCGCCTCGCATTCCGCTGCCTCAGCCTCCTCTCTCTTCTGCTCAGCCTCACTCCTTGCCTTCTCCGCTTCCTCCCTCTCTTTCTCCGACTCGCATTTCGCTGCCTCAGCCTCCTCTCTCTTCTGCTCAGCCTCACTCCTTGCCTTCTCCGCGTCCTCCCTCTCTTTCTCCGCCTCGCATTTAGCAGCTTCAGCCTCACTCCTTGCCTTCTCCGCTTCCTCCCTCTCTTTCTCCGCCTCGCATTTCGCTGCCTCAGCCTCCTCTCTCTTCTGCTCAGCCTCACTCCTTGCCTGCTCCACTTCCTCCCTCTCTTTCTCCGCCTTGCATTTCGCTGCCTCAGCCTCCTCTCTCTTCTGCTCAGCCTCACTCCTTGCCTTCTCCGCGACCTCCCTCTCTTTCTCCGCCTCGCATTTAGCAGCTTCAGCCTCACTCCTTGCCTTCTCCGCTTCCTCCCTCTCTTTCTCCGCCTCGCATTTCGCTGCCTCAGCCTCCTCTCTCTTCTGCTCAGCCTCACTCCTTGCCTTCTCCGCTTCCTCCCTCTTTTTCTCCGCCTCGCATTTCGCTGCCTCAGCCTCCTCTCTCTTCTGCTCAGCCTCACTCCTTGCCTTCTCCGCTTCCTCCCTCTCTTTCTCCGCCTCGCATTTCGCTGCCTCAGCCTCCTCTCTCTTCTGCTCAGCCTCGCTCCTTGCCTGCTCCACTTCCTCCCTCTCTTTCTCCGCCTTGCATTTCGCTGCCTCAGCCTCCTCTCTCTTCTGCTCAGCCTCACTCCTTGCCTTCTCCGCGACCTCCCTCTCTTTCTCCGCCTCGCATTTAGCAGCTTCAGCCTCACTCCTTGCCTTCTCCGCTTCCTCCCTCTCTTTCTCCGCCTCGCATTTCGCTGCCTCAGCCTCCTCTCTCTTCTGCTCAGCCTCACTCCTTGCCTTCTCCGCTTCCTCCCTCTTTTTCTCCGCCTCGCATTTCGCTGCCTCAGCCTCCTCTCTCTTCTGCTCAGCCTCACTCCTTGCCTTCTCCGCTTCCTCCCTCTCTTTCTCCGCCTCGCATTTCGCTGCCTCAGCCTCCTCTCTCTTCTGCTCAGCCTCGCTCCTTGCCTGCTCCACTTCCTCCCTCTCTTTCTCCGCCTTGCATTTCGCTGCCTCAGCCTCCTCTCTCTTCTGCTCAGCCTCACTCCTTGCCTTCTCCGCGACCTCCCTCTCTTTCTCCGCCTCGCATTTAGCAGCTTCAGCCTCACTCCTTGCCTTCTCCGCTTCCTCCCTCTCTTTCTCCGCCTCGCATTTCGCTGCCTCAGCCTCCTCTCTCTTCTGCTCAGCCTCACTCCTTGCCTTCTCCGCTTCCTCCCTCTTTTTCTCCGCCTCGCATTTCGCTGCCTCAGCCTCCTCTCTCTTCTGCTCAGCCTCACTCCTTGCCTTCTCCGCTTCCTCCCTCTCTTTCTCCGCCTCGCATTTCGCTGCCTCAGCCTCCTCTCTCTTCTGCTCAGCCTCACTCCTTGCCTGCTCCACTTCCTCCCTCTCTTTCTCCGCCTTGCATTTCGCTGCCTCAGCCTCCTCTCTCTTCTGCTCAGCCTCACTCCTTGCCTTCTCCGCGACCTCCCTCTCTTTCTCCGCCTCGCATTTAGCAGCTTCAGCCTCACTCCTTGCCTTCTCCGCTTCCTCCCTCTCTTTCTCCGCCTCGCATTTCGCTGCCTCAGCCTCCTCTCTCTTCTGCTCAGCCTCACTCCTTGCCTGCTCCACTTCCTCCCTCTCTTTCTCCGCCTTGCATTTCGCTGCCTCAGCCTCCTCTCTCTTCTGCTCAGCCTCACTCCTTGCCTTCTCCGCTTCCTCCCTCTCTTTCTCCGCCTCGCATTTCGCTGCCTCAGCCTCCTCTCTATTCCGCTCAGCCTCGCTCCTTGCCTTCTCCGCGTCCTCCCTCTCTTTCTCCGCCTCGCATTTCGCTGCCTCAGCCTCCTCTCTCTTCTGCTCAGCCTCACTCCTTGCCTTCTCCGCTTCCTCCCTCTCTTTCTTGGCCTCGCATTTCGCTGCCTCAGCCTCCTCTCTCTTCTGCTCAGCCTCATTCCTTGCCTTCTCCGCTTCCTCCCTCTCTTTCTCCGCCTTGCATTTCGCTGCCTCAGCCTCCTCTCTCTTCTGCTCAGCCTCACTCCTTGCCTTCTCCGCTTTCTCCCTATCTTTCTCCGCCTCGCATTCCGCTGCCTCAGCCTCCTCTCTCTTCTGCTCAGCCTCACTCCTTGCCTTCTCCGCTTCCTCCCTCTCTTTCTCCGACTCGCATTTCGCTGCCTCAGCCTCCTCTCTCTTCTGCTCAGCCTCACTCCTTGCCTTCTCCGCGTCCTCCCTCTCTTTCTCCGCCTCGCATTTAGCAGCTTCAGCCTCACTCCTTGCCTTCTCCGCTTCCTCCCTCTCTTTCTCCGCCTCGCATTTCGCTGCCTCAGCCTCCTCTCTCTTCTGCTCAGCCTCACTCCTTGCCTGCTCCACTTCCTCCCTCTCTTTCTCCGCCTTGCATTTCGCTGCCTCAGCCTCCTCTCTCTTCTGCTCAGCCTCACTCCTTGCCTTCTCCGCGACCTCCCTCTCTTTCTCCGCCTCGCATTTAGCAGCTTCAGCCTCACTCCTTGCCTTCTCCGCTTCCTCCCTCTCTTTCTCCGCCTCGCATTTCGCTGCCTCAGCCTCCTCTCTCTTCTGCTCAGCCTCACTCCTTGCCTTCTCCGCTTCCTCCCTCTTTTTCTCCGCCTCGCATTTCGCTGCCTCAGCCTCCTCTCTCTTCTGCTCAGCCTCACTCCTTGCCTTCTCCGCTTCCTCCCTCTCTTTCTCCGCCTCGCATTTCGCTGCCTCAGCCTCCTCTCTCTTCTGCTCAGCCTCACTCCTTGCCTGCTCCACTTCCTCCCTCTCTTTCTCCGCCTTGCATTTCGCTGCCTCAGCCTCCTCTCTCTTCTGCTCAGCCTCACTCCTTGCCTTCTCCGCGACCTCCCTCTCTTTCTCCGCCTCGCATTTAGCAGCTTCAGCCTCACTCCTTGCCTTCTCCGCTTCCTCCCTCTCTTTCTCCGCCTCGCATTTCGCTGCCTCAGCCTCCTCTCTCTTCTGCTCAGCCTCACTCCTTGCCATCTCCGCTTCCTCCCTCTCTTTCTCCGCCTCGCATTTCGCTGCCTCAGCCTCCTCTCTCTTCTGCTCAGCCTCACTCCTTGCCTTCTCCGCTTCCTCCCTCTCTTTCTCCGCCTCGCATTTCGCTGCCTCAGCCTCCTCTCTCTTCTGCTCAGCCTCACTCCTTGCCTGCTCCACTTCCTCCCTCTCTTTCTCCGCCTTGCATTTCGCTGCCTCAGCCTCCTCTCTCTTCTGCTCAGCCTCACTCCTTGCCTTCTCCGCGACCTCCCTCTCTTTCTCCGCCTCGCATTTAGCAGCTTCAGCCTCACTCCTTGCCTTCTCCGCTTCCTCCCTCTCTTTCTCCGCCTCGCATTTCGCTGCCTCAGCCTCCTCTCTCTTCTGCTCAGCCTCACTCCTTGCCTTCTCCGCTTCCTCCCTCTCTTTCTCCGCCTCGCATTTCGCTGCCTCAGCCTCCTCTCTCTTCTGCTCAGCCTCACTCCTTGCCTTCTCCGCTTCCTCGCTCTCTTTCTTCGCCTCGCATTTCGCTGCCTCAGCCTCCTCTCTCTTCTGCTCAGCCTCACTCCTTGCCTTCTCCGCTTCCTCCCTCCCTTTCTCCGCCTCGCATTTAGCTTGCTCAGCCTCAATCCTTGCCTTCCCCGCTTCCTCCCTCTCTTTCTCCGCCTCGCATTTCGCTGCCTCAGCCTCCTCTCTCTTCTGCTCAGCCTCACTCCTTGCCTTCTCCGCTCCCTCCCTCTCTTTCTCCGCCTCGCATTTCGCTGCCTCAGCCTCCTCTCTCTTCTGCTCAGCGTCACTCCTTGCCTTCTCCGCTTCCTCCCTCTCTTTCTCCGCCTCGCATTTCGCTGCCTCAGCCTCCTCTCTCTTCTGCTCAGCCTCACTCCTTGCCTTCTCCGCTTCCTCCCTCTCTTTCTCTGCTTCGCATTTCGCTGCCTCAGCCTCCTCTCTCTTCTGCTCAGCCTCACTCCTTGCCTTCTCCACTGCCTCCCTCTCTTTCTCCGCCTCGCATTTCGCTGCCTCAGCCTCCTCTCTCTTCTGCTCAGCCTCACTCCTTGCCTTCTCCGCTTCCTCCCTCTTCTGCTCAGCCTCACTCCTTGCCTTCTCCGCTTCCTCCCTCTCTTTCTCCGCCTCGCATTTCGCTGCCTCAGCCTCCTCTCTCTTCTGCTCAGCCTCACTCCACGCCCTCTCTGCTTTGTCCCTTCTCTTCTCTGCTTCTGCCGTCTCCCTTTCAGCCTCCTCTCTGCACTTCTCCGCCTGTAACCGCGTCTCCTCCCTCTCCCTCTCTTGTTCTTCTCTCTCCCTCTCTCTTTCCTCCCTCTCCCTCTCTCTTTCCTCCCTCTCCCCCTCTCTTTCTTCCCTCTCCCTCTCCCTCTCAACCAGCCGCCTCTCTGCTACGTCCCTTTCCCTCTCTGCTACATCCCTCTCCCTTGCAGCAACATCCCTCTCATGCTCAGCACTCACTCTCCTCCTCTCTGACTCGCTAAGAGCATTCTCCAGTTCCTGTATAACCCTCTCCGCCTCCTCTCCATACCTCTCCTCCCCCTCCCTTCCTCCTGCTGCCATCAACCCACGCAGCTGCAACAGCTGCCCCTCAGCTTCAGTTTCTCGATTCTCTCCCTCGCGCTGTTCATGGTGGCCTTCATACACTGTCAGAACCTCCTTCACCTGCTCGTCCTCCTCCCCTTCACTCATCTCCTTGTTTGTTCCCTGCCCCTGCTCCTTCTCCTCCTGCTGCCCCTGCTGCCGCTCCTGCTCCTTCTGCTTCGGCCCGTCCCGTTCGCTGCTACTCACTTCGATCGAGCTCAACCCTATAGGTTGCTTCCGACCCTCTCTAACCCTTTCAGTGCACCCGTCTGTCATTCTCTCCCCTGCAGTGTGCCCCTCACCTACTGTCCCCTTTGAGTTTCCCTTCGATACAGGAGAGTCTGCAACCAAAGCAGTTTCAAGTCTCGATTCATCATTACCTCCCTTTCCCTCCTCCTCCTCTTTCTCCTCTCCCACCTCCTCTCCCATCAGCCGTTTCACCTCCCTTCTCAGCCTCAACACTTCTCCTTGCACCTCCTTCATCCTCCCAATCACCTCGTCCCTTTCCCTCTCCGCCCTCTCCCTCCCCCTATCCGCCTCCTCCCTCACTCTCTGCACATCCCTTACCCTCCCTTCAACCTTCCTACACCTTTCTTCTAGGCCCCTTCTCTCCTCCTCCCCTTTAAGCAGCTCAGCTTGAAGTTGCCTCCCCCACACTCTCAAGTCATGTGCCACGTTCTCTGCTTCCTCCATTCGCTTCCTTGCCTCCCTCACTCTCTCCCCTTCCTCCCCTTCACTTAACCTACCCCCCCCTGCCCGTTGGTGCGCTTCCATGGTCAGCATTAAAGATTCTATTTTCCCCTCCAGTCCAATCTTCTTTGCCCGTTCCTCTTCCCGGGCAGCCAGAGCCGCCGCCGTTTCTGCCCGCAATACTTCCACCTCACGTTTCATCGCCTCAGCTTCCACCCTAGCCATTTCCGCAGCTGCCCGAACCAGCTCCGACTCCGCCTTAAACTTCTCCGCAGCTGCCCGAGCTTTCTCAGCCTCAGCCTGCGCAGTTTCCGCTTCTGCCCGAATCTTATCCGAATCTTCCCACACTCGCTTAGCCTCAATCCTCATCCGTTCAGCATCCAGAACCTTCTTAGCAGCTTCTTCCACCTTCAGTAATGCCATATCCCTCTCCCTTAAAGCCCCTTCCATTACCCTCTCAGCTTCAACCTTCTCTCTCACTGCAACCTCTCTCAACCTCTCCGCTTCCTTCCTCCCTCTCTCTGCTCCCTCTGCTGCTCCTACCGCCTCTTCTATCGCACTCTCAGCAACCTCTCTCCTCCTCTTCGCCTCCTCACACTCCTCCTCTGCAATCCTCCTCCTCGATTCCTCCTCCACCCTCCTCCTTTCGGCCTCATCCCTTTCCCTCGCCATCTCCTCCCTCTCATATACCGCCTGGTCTCTCAACTCAAGGGCTGCTTTTTCCCCGTTATGAGCCTCCTCCATTGCCTTTACAGCTTCGTCTCTCTTCGCCTCAGCTTCCCTCACTGCTTTACTTGCTGTTACCAACCTCCCTTCCATTTCTCCCCTTTCTCTCTCCACCTCCTCCCTCACTCTCTCCCCCTCTTTCTCCACATCCCTCGCCCTCCTCACAGCCTCCTCCCTCTCCTCCTCACCCTCACCCTTCCTCCTCTCTGCCTCCTCCCTCCCCTTCTCCGCCTCCTCCCTCCTCCTCCTCTCCTCCTCCAACTCCCTTTCAACCTCCTCCCTCCTCCTCCCCTCCATCTCTCTCCCCTTCTCACTCTCCCTCCACAACCCTTCCACTTCCCCCAACCTCCCTTCAGCTTCCTCTCTCCTTCTCTCTGCTTCATCCCGTTCCAGTAAAGCCCTAACCATTCTCTCTTCTGCTTCCTTCCGTTTCCTCTCTGCTCCCTGCTTCCCTCTCTCTGCCTCTTCTCTCGCCCTCAAGGCTTCTCGCAGTCCTCTCTCCGCCTCCTCTCGCCTTCTCCCTAGCTCCAACCACCCACCCCGGATTAGCCCTCGAGCCTCCTCCCCTCTCACCCCCCCTTCCTCTGCTGCTCCTGTACCCCTTACAAGCTGCCTCGGAGTCCCCTTAGGAGAAGGCTCAATTTCCTCAGCGGTGTGTACATTCAATCGCTGGGCCCGCCCTTCTGTACTCGCTATAGCAGGAGGCAGTTTCTTAAAGAGAGGCTTGGAAATGAAGGAGGATGGGCTGGGAGGTTCAGATCCAAAGGATGACCCAAACGAGGAGCTTGACAATTGGCCCATCAGTAACTTATCCTCGTTATGAACTGCTCCAGTTAGTGATGACGCCACTCGTTCTAGCTGCTCCGTTTGCTGCTTTCCCTTATTCGCACCTTCTTCTACCCGACTCTGCGCCCCATCCTCCTTACAATCTATCTCAATAAATAATGCTGATTCGCTACAAGCTCTTGACTCGTTGCAAGCTCTTGTCCCGTCCTCATGCTCTTCCCCTTGCCCCCCTTTAACTGCCCCCTTATCTTCCGCCCTCACTTCCTTGGTACTTGACAAGTTCCCTTTCCCCGCCTCCCCACCTCCTTCCCCACACTCTCCCACCTCCCCTCCTTCCTTTGCCCCTCTCGATGCCAAACTCCCCTCTCCAGTATCCCATTTTCTTGCCTTTTCCTTCTCTTCAGTAAGCTCTGCTTGCTGCTGCTCCTCTTGCCGTTTCTCTTTCAGCTCTCCTTTCTGCGTCACTTCCTGCTGTTGCTCCCGTTGTTGCCCCCCCTGCTGCTCTCCTTTTTCAGGACTATCGTGCTTCGCTGCTGCTATTTCATCTGTACACTCCATCCTTAAATTCACCCCGTCAGCAGGCTCATCCCCGTTAATAGACTCAACCCCGTTAGTATTCTCACCCCCGTTAGCTGCCCCGTTAGTAGACTCAACCCCGTTAGTGAACTCAGTCCCGTTAGTAGACTCAACTCCGTTAGTGAACTCAGCCCCGTTAGAAGACTCGCCATTAACAGATTGTACAGCATTAGCAGACTCGACGCCTGTCCGAAACTCCTCATCCCCCTTAAGAGATGACCCTTTGTACTCCTCATAGTTGTCCTTCTCATCCTGAGAAACGCCTGTAATCGTCTGAGTATTCAATACTTCCTTGCAATCTCCCTTCGATTCTGCTTTCATTTCTTCCTTCACCGATTCTTCTTTTGAAGCTCCATTCGCTTCTTCCATACAGGCCTCTGCCTTCGGCGACTCCCGAGATATTTCTTTAAGAGCCTTGCCTTTCTCTGGCTCCTCGAGGGAAGATCTCAGCCGTCCATTCTCCTCCTCCTCCTCTACTCGCTGCGTCACCTCCGCCTCCTCCTTCCGCCGCTCCTCCTCCCCATCTTTCCGCCTCTCCTCCCCCTCCCCAGCCAAAGCGCCGTCCGACTCCGCCTTACCCCGCGCACGCCAGCCAGACCCGCCGCCAATCCCCCTTCCGCCCATGGACGCGCTATGAGCGCCTGTTCCGTTATTAGCACCTGTCCCGCTATGAGCGGCCGTCCAGCTATGCGCGGCTGTCCCGCTACGAGCGCCTGCCACGCTAAAGGAGGCGCCTTTCCCGCTAGAAGCGCCTTTCCCGCTAGGAGCGCCTGTTGCGGCGGAACCTCGGGACGAGGACAGCGCTCCGCTCCTGAGGCGACTCAGATAAAGAGCCTTCCCCGTCAAACCCGCCGATTCTTCCGCGTTTCCCGTCGTCGCCTGCGCGTTTTCCCCCTTCGAGCCTGGTGACAACTTTCCCGCGTCGCCAGCAGACGGTCGCTTCGTAATCTCCTTAGAGAGTTTTTCGACTTTATTCTGAAGGTCCATGTTTTTGAACTTATACTTTCCTAACTCCACTTCTAAAGCCGTTATTTTTTCTTCCAGCTCTTTTCCCGCGCCGCCACTTCCCCGGGGCCCCGGAGAACCCCGCGCGGAAGCTTCCGCGCGCGCTTTCCATTTTTCCGCCTCCGCGCGCAGGTTTTCCGCCTCCGCGCGGGAAATGCTCTGCTTCTTCCACGCATCGAGCTCCGCCGTGACTGCCGCTGCGAGGTCTTTCGCGGCTCGTAACTCGGTCTGTAGGCGGTCGACCTTGCAACGAAGGTCAGAGTTTTTTATTCGAAGCTGCCCGAGTTCCACTTCCAAAGCCACATCGTCCTTCGCCATTGCCCGCCAGCTCTAACTACTTCGGGGAAACGACCTACTTGTATAAACTTCGAAGTTCCACGAGAATTCTAGCTTTCCCGAGAATCCTAGGTTTCTTCAGGCATTCTAGGTTTCTCCGAAGGATTCTAGGCATCCTTATCCTTTCTAGGTTTCTCCGAGCCTAGGTTTTGCTCACCATTCAATACTGGTGCTCCTTTCCTTCCTCCCACTCTTCCCTCCAAAAGCGCGTTGCATTGGGATTTTCGTACTTGGGATCGTCTCTTCTTGGGATTCGCGCTTTGTTTGGCATGGAGGGGCATTCACGAAAAGGGATTGTCAGGGCGGGTCCAGCGCGTACGTTTTCCGTACATTACAGTTCATCCAGTGCGGTAATCTGTATTTCTACACGGTTCAAAACGGTGCAATTTTGGAACCGTTGTGCACCGTTTGATATCTTTCCAAACCACTACGAATGAACTGTATAGGACCTGTAAACGTACGCGCTAGACCCGCCCTCAGTGCCTAGCAATCTTGACCCCTCCTCCCAAGGTCGTCCCAATCTCAGGCGCGTTCGGCGTCCTCGGGTATTTCCGAACTCAAACTCCCACATACAGGAGTTCCTCCAGAAGTGTTTTCCTTTGTCTGATTGTTTCAAGAAATGTGCTGTGTTGAGAAACTCGGCTGAGGAATTTGATTCATAAGGAAGTGTACCGAATGCGCCTCAGGTTCTCGGTTGGACTTTGGATGCTTTCATGTTTCGCGGACGTGATCGGGCGTTACAGTTTGGTGCTTTGTTTTTTCATACGTTCTAGCGTGGTTCCAGAGGCAAAAGGCTAACTGATTCTGTCAACCCTCATACAGTGCTATAAGTTACAATAATGTGTGTTGTAAGGAAAATCCTTTTCCTTACTGAGCTCAACCACAGCGCGTACGCCCTCGGACTTCGGAAGGCTAGGCTCGGCCTAACTTTTCGGTCCGCAACCACTCTAGCGCAACCAAACCTAAATGCGGGGCTGTTCCGTGGCTTTCGTCACCCGAGTCGCCCCAACCTAGTTGCGAGGTTCTCGACTAGCGTAATTGTGCCTGTAAAGTGCCGTAGCCCTTCATTTGTATTCGGACTCTTGAGTCACGTCCTGTTATTGAATTCCGCGCTACTACTCTGATTCGATACATAACAGCTGGTATCAGAGCTACTTTCCTGCCCGCTTAGTCTTCCGTAGGCGAGTCCGTTTATATCGGGCGAGGACCTGACAGAATAGAAGGTTGGCCTGCGGTCGGTAGGTGAGCTCAATTAAAGCTCCTACGACTAGAAGCGTGTGCACCTTCAGATCTGTTAGGTGAAACAGTTCCAGCATGACGAGTGAGCTGGAATCCTCTGCCCGCCGTAGTGTTAGGAACGTGACACAGGAGGAGTTTGACGAGTTGCAGACGAGGGCGGCCACGGTGACGACGCTACAGTCGCAACTCCAACAACTCATGGCGAAGTTCGAATCGCTCGATGGCGAACTTCAGACGCTGCGCGAGGAAAACTCATCACTTCGCCAGGCGCGTGGAGAGACGCGTCAGAGGCGGCCTGTTACCCGAGACGAGGATGCTGCGAGCGAAGCGAGAACGTCGGCGACACCTGAAGCAACAGAAGAAATCAACAGTGGGCAACGAGCAGTTATTAAAGTTAAACCTGCCACGCCCCCGCCGTTCAATCCGACCGATAAAACCACAACAGTGAGCGGGTGGTTGTTTGCTGATGAGATCTTCTTTAATGCAGCTAATATTCACGACAATGCAACACGTGTGAATTTTGCTGTATCACTGCTGAGAGGACCGGCACTCGACTGGTGGCGCATGCAACTCGCAGAGGGAGGGGCCTCGGCAGGACATCAACGGGCGGTAGCTGGGGAGCAACAGTCGTCTGAAGCAATGGCGGTCCCAATCTTCGGATCGGCCATGAACCTCACGTGGCGAGCGTGGGGCGAAGCCTTGAAAAGGCGGTTTGAGCACATATCCGCGCGCAAACACGCTCGTGCGAGGCTTCGGGAATGGCGTCAGTTGGGAGCTGTTCAAGAATACACCGCGTCGTTCCTAGCACTCTGCGACCAGATCGACGGCATGAACGAAGACGAGAAGATGGACCGCTACGTGGCGGGATTGAAACCGGAAATACAGCTGGAAGTTGAAGTGCGACGCCCAGCAAATTTTTCGGAGCTCGTCGAGTTGGCAGATGCGCTGGACGCGCGGCGGGCATTCGCGAGGACGAGTTTCCGGGAGGGAAATCGTTTTCGAGGCCAGCACCAACACCCTTCCATCAACGGCGTGGACGCGATGGCAGCCCGGGTGTTTACCGGTCGCTGTTTCAACTGCAACCAGCCGGGCCACATGGTGAGGGACTGCCCGGCGCTTAAGAAGGACTTAGCTAACGACGGGAAGCAGTCGGGAAATGGAAAAAGTCAGTAGCTGATGGGCCACCTGCTGACTTGACTGCGTCGCCCAAACACCACCACCCCCACCAGGTAGTAGTGCCGATTTATGCAGTCGACCACTCCTGGCTGAATAAGGGGGGTGAACCTGTTGATCACCCTGTGCTGGTAGAAGGAAGAGTTGGGGATAATAAAATAAAAATATTTGTTGATGGTGGAGCGAGCCACAGTTTGATGGATGTGACAAAAGCGAAGAAGCTGCGATTACAATTGGAGCGGTGCATGCCGGAGATCGACGCGCGATTGGTCGACGGTACACCACTGGCGATTCGAGAACGGGTGCCACACGTTCGAGTCACATGCGGCGAACGTTTCAGTTTCACGACGAAGATGCTGGCGACGACTCTGGATGGCTGCGACATGCTGCTGGGGCGCGATTGGCTGCGAGAGTACAACCCGAGCATCGATTGGCGAACGGGCGACTGTCGCATCAAGTGGGGAGGCGAGTGGCGACGACTACCCCGGTGGAGTGGACCTGAAGCGACTACATCGACGGTCAGCGCCGTGGCGATCAAACGCGCCATGATTCGGGGCGCACAACTCTACGCCGTCCGATGGATCACATCAACGACCGTCGACGATACCCCCGACATCGAAAAGTTGTGCGCTGGCGTAACCGACGACCTGGCGAAACTCATTCGGAAATACCCAACCATTTTTCCAGATGACCTACCCGCCGGTCTACCACCTCAACGCCCCCAGGACCACAAGATCCAACTCGAACCCGGCGCGCAGCCAACCGTGCGGACACAGTGGCGGCTGACGCAACCTGAGCTGGAGGAACTACGTCGACAACTTGACTACCTGTTGGAGAAAGGCTTCGTCCGGCCCAGCACGTCTCCGTTCGCCGCCCCAATCCTGTTCACACCGAAGAAGGATGGGGGCCTTCGCATGTGCATCGACTACAGGGCGCTGAATCGAGTTACAATTAAATCCCGATACCCGATACCACGCGCCGACAAACTCATCGACCAGCTTCGCGGAGCAAAATTCTTCTCGAAAATCGACTTGCGAGGGGGTTACCACCAAATTTGCGTCGACGAGGCAGATTGCTACAAGACCGCGTTTCGTACCCGGTACGGGAGTTACGAGTACACAGTCATGCCATTCGGTCTGACAAACGCGCCCTCAACCTTCCAGCTGACCATGCACGAGATTTTTCGGCCGCTGTTGGACAAGTGCGTCATAGTGTACTTGGACGATATCCTCGTCTATTCCACAACCCGGGAGCAGCACTTAAAGGACCTCGACCAAGTCTTCACGCTACTGCAGCAAAATCGCCTCATCACCAAGGGATGTAAGTGCGAGTTTTTAAAACCCGAACTGGAGTTCCTCGGCCACATCATCTCCGTCGAAGGCGTTAAAATCGACCCCAAGAAGATCAGCACCATTCAAGAATGGAAGCCGCCGTCTAATTTGCGGGAACTCCAAAGTTTTTTGGGGTTCGTGAATTACGTCCGCCGGTTCATCCCGAACATGGCGGGGGTGACTTCCCCGCTCACGGACCTGCTGAAGAACGGCGCATTTTTTGAATGGGGGGGAGAACAGCAGGCTGCGTTCGACGCACTCAAACTTTTTCTGACGACCCCGCCGGTTCTTTGGATAGCTGATCCTCACCGTCCGTTCGAGCTCGTCACCGACGCTAGTGACATCGCTGTCGGCGCGGTGCTGTTACAAGACTTCGGCGACGGACTCCAGCCCATCGCCTACGAATCCCGCAAGCTGAACCCGGCCGAGTGAAATTATCCGGTTCATGACAAGGAGTTACTGGCGATCGTCCACGCGTTCAAAACCTGGCGCTGCTATCTAACCGGGGCCGACGTAACAGTACGGACAGACCACAAGTCACTACAGTTCATTCGCGCACAACCGACACTGAACCCACGACAGACCCGTTGGCTCGACTACCTCGAGTCCAATTTTCACTACAGGGTCACCTACAAACGGGGGGCAAATAACATCGCCGACGCCCTGACCCGTCCATCTGCCCACACCGCCGCTGTACTGATTACCCAGACCAACCCACTATTAACCGGCCTATTCACCCACGGCTACAACACTGATCCGTTCTTCACCACCAGCACCAACAGCCCACTCGTCACTAAGCAAGGGCCCTATTATCTAAAATCCGGTACCAATCGGATTTGGGTCCCTGCTTATCGACTACTACGGGAGCTACTGATACAGGAAGCCCACGACTCAAACCTCTCG